CCAGGTTTTCTGTAGCGAAAAAAGGGTCGACAAGGGCGTCGAGGTATTTGGTGGGCTGAAGGTCGGACAGGCCACCTGACAGTTTAGCTGCTTCGTGTGAGTTGAAGTTGACAAAATGGCATCGTCTGAAATGACCTTTAATAGATTTGGTAGTATTAAGCATATCTTTGCATCATTTTTTAAACATTTCTGTGAAGTGTTCAAAATGTTTTAATATTCTGAGAATACAAATAAAGACACACTGTTTGATTGATATTTGTTTTATTGATTGCTATACCAAATGAATGCATGAAATAACCTTAAATAGATTTGGTAATATGAAGTATATCAATTCATGACTTTTTTTACATTTCTACGAAGTATTCACAATGCTTTAATATTTTGAGAGCATGTATAAAGACATATTGTTAGTTTGATACGTGTTTCTGTGGTTAAATTTGTGTTTCCAGCTGTGTACTGACAGCATTCCTTTACTTAAGCAGTTTTTTTTTTTTGGACCGTTTTTTTTTTTTCGCCCTCTCGCACCGATTTTGGGGTACTCAGAGGATGTCATCCATAAAAATAAAAAAGTGTGGCCTTAGCTTGTTTCCCAGACTGTCTTACCTGTAACTGAACTCTTACTTTGCTAAAGTAAATTTTCTGAATCTTAAAGAAGTCTTTGTAAAAATCGTTTCTAATTATTAAAACAATGATTTATTAGCTTGTTTTCCAGTCTGTCTAACCTGTAACTGAACTCTTATGTGCAAAAGTAAACTTCCTGAATCTTTGAGAAATTTTTAACTGGTTATGACCATTTTCATGCATGAAATTTAAAGATGTAACTTTCAGAAAATGCATTTTTACTTTAATTTTTAGTACTTGTTACTGATGATTGAAACTGAATATATGACATTTCCTAAAATTTAATTTTCATCATTGGTTGGCGAATGGTATAAAGAAAATGATGATAAATTATTTTAATAATATGACAGGAAGGACTGACAATTACCAGGTACAAGGCAATAAAAAACAGCAAATTTGTACACATAGTATTCAACTATGTTGATTTATTTAGTAGAACTTCCATTTCTATTATTTATGTGAATTCTACATATTTTATTTTATAGTACCCATTTTCATTGAGTTTAGGTGCTGCCTTATTAGGCAGGGTGGCCAGGCCCTGGTTTCACAAAAAACTTAAGTCAGGTCCCCTGGCTAAGAACTAAATTACCAAGGTTACATGGTTACATGGGCACATCTTACCCTATCAAGAGCAGTGTAACAGCGCTCTCATGAAAATCCTAGTCAACTAGGCCAGGGAACTGACTTAAGTTTTTTATTTATTTATTTATTTTATTTTACTATTATTTTTTTTTTGTGAAACTGGGGCCAGGACTGCATAATTACCTGTATTCAATATCTTTTCCAGTGTGGTCTAATGTGTGTCCAGGGTGGAGTAGTCCACATCAACCACAACGAGAGGACATCAGAGGTGTACTGTGTGTGGCTAAAGATGCCCAGCCTGGCAGAACAGTGCTGGCAGACTCTTATCAAGACAATACCTAATATTGACACTATGGACAGAAGTGAACTCCTAGAACTGGGAATTCCTCAGAAATATGTGGACAGGATTGATGGGACTCCCACTGCGGCTTAGTACTGGGAACCGAGTGAAGGATGAGGGGCAGAGGCAGGGAAAGGAAAAAAAAATCATCCTCAAACCAGTAAAATGATTTTGCCATGACTTACTGGTTGTCAGCTTCCTACACCACATTTTCAGCATCAAAATGGAGAAGTCATGTTTACAAATGCAAATGGTTAGGAAGCAGTAATATTTATTATTCAGCCTATTTTTTTACATACACATAATTTACCCATCATCTCTGGACTAGTACTTTCAAACAGTGATTGTGCCAAAAAGTGAGTGGCCAGTAGTGCAGTTAATTGCGTTTGTAATTCTGTTGTTTCATCATAATCACTGTGTTGATCTTGTTTACAAAATAATTAGATTAGATTGAAAATGTACCTTTTAAGATCAACTATAATTTTATGTATAAAACACCCAAAAGGGCACTGATAGGGAGCATTATACTATTATTGCGGATCTTAAGAGATGCATTTTCAATCTAATTCATGTCTGTTGATGTGTTGTAAACAGTAGAGAAACACTGAACAATAACTCACAATAACTTTCATCATTGCTTCAAAAGTGAAAACATGAAGGGTTTATGTTTTAAGTTGGCAATCCTACCAAACAAATGAAAAGGTAGAATATTAAGGTTTTGATAGCCTTGCCCACAGTTTTCTATCCATTGAAGGTATTATGCTACTATTTCATAATGTCTGATTATTTTCTGACCAGCACCCTCCCTTTCTGGTTCTGTCCCTGGTGAGAAATTAGGCCACATTCAGAACAGTGGACTAACTAGTCCATGGGTCAAATATGGAGACCTACTAAAAAGTTTGCCGTCTAATCCGCTTATATACACTGAATAGATTCCCCGTGGGGAGGTATTCAAGTGGGTCGGCCATATTTGATCCTCGGACTAGTTAGTCCACTGTTCTGAATGCAGACTTCATGTTATACCTGTGCAATCAGGCATGTTACGTGGCACACCTTTATCTAGCACAAAGAGGTATTTTACAACCATCACAATAATTTTAGTGTCTTTTGTTTCACCCTTTATTTACAGATTGTTGAATGTTTACTGTTTGAAACTTGTTGCAAGGTGGTCATCTGCAATACATTACCTAATGTATCAAAAACAATTTGCAGGTTTTAGTAAAGGCCACATTTAGAAAGTGCCTAATTTTGTTTGGGCCATCCTTCAAAGCTGTTCTCTTATGTGGAGATTAAATGAGAAGTGAACACCATTGACCATTGATAAGAAACTGCATCAAAACTAAATGAGTCAACACTTATTGGTGTTTTGTTTTAATAATGTGACCTACTAGCTACTGCACCAGTTATAACTTTGAGCTGCAAAATGAGTTATTAACTTCCACAACTGTCCAGTGCCAACAATGTTGCAAAATGGGAAATGACAGCTTGAGATTAATCCTGATTTGATCATTTTTATTTAGTTTGCGACTGGTAAATGATTTTGAACTAGACAAGTATACTTCTCATATTTGTTTTTGATGATTGGCAAATATACCATTTGTACCTGTAAATGACCATTTGGTTGATATACGGTAAGGTGTTACAGCAACTTTGTAGCCTTAGCCTTATAACATACCTAATTTTGACTCTCTCATATCAATAGAGTAGACAACCTGCCAAATATACTTAATATTGTGAAAATTATCATATGGGTATTTATTCTTTTAAAGATACTTTTCAGCAGGTAATGAAGTTTTTCACATGCCATTATTTACAGGCAAGTTATTGAACACCTTATTACATTTAGAATATAATGTATTCTTATGGAAATAAGAAATTATGTTTTTGCCAAAACCTTACGTTTCTCACTTAATCGGCTCATTTTTCACCTTTCACCACATTTTCTTTCAATCCCTTTCTTCTTTGATTCAGGTAAATTAAGTTCATTTTAAAGACGAGTCCAAAGAGGCAAATATTATGAAACAGCAATTACAAATATTAAATGCATTTATTATTTATATATTTGTATGATAAAAATGGCATCTTTTCACTTGAATGTCATAAGGCCAGAAAAAAGCCATGTCAGAGTACTTACAATGTACATACAGTATCCAGCACATGAAATTCACTACTTTTTACATGAACATAAATTATGTAATTCTCGAGAATTCTCTGTATGTCACTAGGCGAACAATGGACAGATCTTTGCAAAAAATTTTTAATAAATATTATGACAGGAAAATAAAAAAAAAAAAAAATAGTACAGGCGCGCATCTTCTATAGATTGTTAATCTGTTTTTCAAATGCCATATTCATCAATAATTCTGCCTTTTTTTATACAGATCCAGAAACATTTAGCATCTTGCTGAGGGAAAAACATATCTAAACACTAACCAAATCTGTGTATAAAATGTTAAGTGTAATGAAAAATATATGAACTTTCGAGAAAAAATTGTAAATGATCTCTCTGTATCAAAAGTTGAATACTATCAGTGCATTTTAGAAAATGGATTTCTCTATTCCTTTCAGTTGAATATCATTAAGTGGTTAACACTGGAAGAACCAAGTACCCAAATATATTGCACTCAGCTTTATATGGTTGGATTGCAAATGCTTTCCATTTTAGGATGGAATGCCATCTAGCTTAACATTCATTGAGATTAACTTAAGGAACTGATATTAAACTAATTTATGACAATCTCACTCCAGTAAATTATAATAAAGAAAAGATGGAATATAAAGTATAAAATTCTATACAAACCAGATGAGAATATAAGTAAGAAATATAAGCAAACCAGTTACCCCAAACAATTGCCTTCCTTTAATATGACTAAAAGGCACTGATAACATAGAAAAAAACTAAAAAAATGTTAACTCCAGAATCTCGCAGCATGCCCTCACCCTCTACCTTACACTTGTGCACTGTAGAAGAGACATAAGACTGGTATTCAAATTCTTCCCTCCCAAAACTGGGTGGGTTCTCGAAGTCTGCAAAACCTGATCTCATATCCAGTAACCCGCTGAAAACAATCTCAAATTATGCAACCGGAAGGCGAACACCTTAATAGCATGGCCCACAATAATCACGATACCCTAATAGCTTAGAGATTACATGCCTGCGATCACCATTACAAACTGACAGAGGAGTAAGAAGTGGAAGGTGCTGCATGCTTTAAAAATGGCTCGGTGATTGCCCTTTTAAAACCGTCTCTGTTCCAGCCATATACAAGGGAGTTAAAGAAGCCCTGCAAGGGTGCTGTAAGACCCTAGAATAGAACAAATAATTAAATATAACAATTTTTTAACTCTTACAAAATGTACAATACTGTGAATCCTTTCAGTAAACAATTTTAATAAGAAAAAATATTTCCTTAACAGATAATTTTCAGACTAACCTGTAACACATACAGCCAGAAATATTGGTTCATGTCGAACTTGCTGGAGATGGAAAACACACCAAGGACAAGTGCTAGAAATAAAAAAATAAAGACCTGTTCACACAAGACTACATTAAGACCGAATGCTGGACAAGCTTGTGTTATCAGACAGCTGGACCCTATACTGCCTTAAACAGTTAAAAGAATGGCTGTTGTCTGAATAGTGAATCACAGAAACACAACTGCTATGGTTAAAAATGCCTTATAAATAAAAAACTGCAAATTTCTTCTCTTTTTACATCAGATCAAAAAAGACACCTCAAAACGTAAATGTGAAAAAATATTTAGCTTATTTCCCAAACATTATTTATCTCCTAATACCATGTAAATCTTTTAACTCTTACCACGGTAAAAACTTGAAAATTAAGTCCATCTTGAAAAGTTTGCCAGATGATTCTCTGCTGACCTAATGCTTTTCACTTTGAAAATTTTGTCAAACTTAAAAATGGGCCTCTCAATAATTTGAAAAAATCGTCACCTAATGGCCATGTTGGATTCACACTTTTTGAATAATTAATTAATTTTTAAGTGACAAAGTTTTTACTGTGCTATGTTAAATTCATATCTGAATACAGAAGTAAAATATGGGTAAATGCATCAGTAAATGATCTACTTACACGGTATCCAACAGAAGAAAAAGACCAGCTGGTACCTCATGGCCTTCACCTTGACCTGTCTCTCCACTTTATGCTGCTGGTAGCTCAAAACACCTGAAAGTCACATAAAGAAATAGGAAGCTGTTGTTTGGAAATGGGGAAAAAACAGATAAAAATAATAATTATTATCATTTTTTTCTTATTGAACATGAGGCAGGAAAATCTTCTCTTTATTTTCCTTTAATACTCAAGTCCAAATAATCCTTTGTATATAAATGTGCTTATCAATTTGAGAGAGAGAGAGAGAGAGAGAGAGGGGGGGGGGACGGGGGGGTCAGGAACATGTAAAGTGAAGCCAGCAGATACGTTTAAGTGCTTTTTCACTCACCTCTTGTCATCTGAATCTGTCTGAATGCTCTGATAATTAAGACATAGATAACCTGAAACATAAATGTTATCTATACTCAGAATCAAATAAAGACAATATTAAAGGGATAATAACTCTTCGTATGAGATCTATATTTCACAATAAAAACCTTGTGAATAACTCATAGAAATATAATATATTCTGTTTTACCACAAAAACAGCAGTTATAGCTTTTATTCTGATATCTGAACTTGTCTTTAGACCACGTGACCTCCATTGATGTCTATACTCTGTTAAAATCTCTTAAGAGATTTTAACAAAAAACCAAACTTTTTAGAAAAAAAACAGGGACTAACTTTGAATGTAAAAATGGATTCATTAACCATTGGTAAGTATGGGAAAATTGTTTACTCCAGGAAAATTCATTTTTTGGCTGAAACGAAGAGTTATTATTGCTTTAAGATACAACTAAGCACAAAATATGAAAAACTTTACATGCCAATCAACAGAGATGAAATGGAGAACTAGGAATGTGGAAAAGTATAAATATATCTATTTGGTCAGATAACCTTAGGCATTGGTTTCAGAGCTGGTCTACATTCTCATGTACAGTAATAAGGCCTGAAAACTGTTTAAGTGCATACTTACAAAGTTGACCAGCATGGTAAGTGTAAGAGGACCTAAAAATAAATACTTCATAGCTTTCTCCCAGCCTTCTACATCTGTTTTCTGACTCTAGGAAATAATAAAAATATATAATAACTAAATTATAACACCAAAATCATCATCTAACAATTGCATGGGCCAACAGTTAAGTTTAACATCAACACCTTTAAAAAAAATCTCAAAATTTTATATATAAAAAATAGTTTAGCTTTACTTGTAATTGAAATCTGAATCTTTACTTACCATACAAAGGTCGTCATTATAGTGGAACAGAGGCAGACACCTGAAAAAAAAAAAAAAAAAAAACATTGAAGGAAGTTACCGAAAATACTTTACTGGTAAGAGCAGATTAAGAGGGTTTGGGGGTTCATCAGAAGATAGCTTAAATTCATTTTCCTATTGCAAAATGGGTGACTAGATCTTAAATTGATTTCTACAAACTGCCATCCTTCATGAATTGGCAAAAAGATATGTTCTTAATATTAGGGTGCATTAATAATGAATCTATTCTGCTAGCTTGTGCGTACTAACTCCACAGGGACTGTTGCTGAATGAAATGAGATTAACAGGCCTCCTCTTGTTCCAATGTTCTCGCATAATCACCAGCTTTTCTGTATTCTACTCGATGCCAGGAGGAGAAGTGTTAATCTGTTTCTCTGTTTAGATCACAGTCTTAAAAGTAATTTGCAAACAAATTTTTTAAAGTGTTTGCTTATACTTAAACCCTGCCTCCAAGGGAAATTTCAAAGACCAATTACTCTATTAATTTAGCCTATATCAAAATGTAAATTCTGATTCATCTGGTCACATGATGATTGCAATACCACCAGCAGTGCCACCTGTAGTGACAGTTCCTTACAGATGTCCTTGGGATGACGATGAAACATCAGAATCTCTGTAAAAATATCTGGCAGATCTAAGTGAGTATACAGTACTAGAGTTAATAATTTTGCTTTTGATTTAGCCAATACTTACGCCTCACACCCTGTGGCTGGAGGTAAAATTGCTTTTGATAAAGCCAATATACTTACACCTCACACCCTGTGGCTGGAGGTAAAATTGCTTTTGATAAAGCCAATATACTTAAACCTCACACCCTGTGGCTGGAGGTAAAATTGCTTTTGATAAAGCCAATATACTTAAACCTCACACCCTGTGGCTGGAGGTAAAATTGCTTTTGATTAAGCCAATATACTTACGCCTCACACCCTGTGGCTGGAGGTAAAATAGAATACCAGTCATCCTCTTCTCTTCTTGTCACTAACATGAATGCAAAGGCAACCAAGAGGGGAACAGCCCTAAAACAGACAATGTATCAGAATTAGGGACCACAAAAATAGAGTAATTTCACTTAAAAAGTAGAGAATGTGAGATAAATTCAGAAATAAATCGATTCATTTGCAACAGAGAACAGAGTTCAGACATTTGCACACACTGCCATTGCAACAAAAGCACACATAAAAGATGAATTAATTTAGTAAATCTTAATTCTAACAATGGATAGTGACAATGCATCCTAATGTAACAGTTATATCTGTTTAAAAAGTGAAATCCTATAATTACAATAAACAGTAAACAATCACTTACCAAGACATTATGTACAAAGGATGCAGTACGTTACACTGAAAGATTAAATAAAGCCAAATGTAAAGGTAATACAGCAGAATCATTGGTGTCTTTATGTCAATTTAAATATTACTTGAGAATTTATCATGTAAAATGCATTTCAACCTGTATGCCAATACAAATTTTAATAATTTTCAAGACAATTGATATCTATTTAGTCATTTCTCAACCTTCTTCCATGTTCTTCTTATCTTTGTAGTGTACTGAATCCATTATATGGACAAAAAAAAAGTTATAAATTAATCTCATATTTCTCATGTGAAACTCACTTTCTTTCTAGCTTTTCTTCCTGTCGAATTTTCCCTAGCACTTAACTCTCGCTTCATCTTGTTATAAACTTCAACCGCATACGTCATAGTCAATAAAAATGTTATTATATAAAAACACTGAAAAGAAAATTATTTTTAGAATTACAATGGGCAAATAACATGCCAAACTTTTTCACAACTTGTTAAAATGGAATTTTCTCCATTTTGGTTTTTATTTATTTTAAAAAGCAAACAACTATGTTTTCATTTCATCTTGACAACAAGCAGTTCTTTTTGCTCAAGGTTTATGATAGCTGAACCATCATGGAAAACCACTTGTTGACCTTAGATAAATATGTGCTTTATATCCAAGTAAACTCTCTTGGAATGTGATTAAATGTGCTAAGTGTAACTACCCTGAATAATGACATTTTGAGTATTACAAACAAAGATACTCTTTTACTGTGTTAGGTATGACTGGCTAAAATAAGGCCTAACAGCGGGCAAAGTGTATTTGTGTTAGATGGACAAATATCACATCAAGATGCATTGCAAGAGTATGTTCAGTATACCATGTAGAACATTTCCATTTCATGAATGAGCCAGGCCAAGAGTTGTGTGAAGATGAGTCTTCACTTAATCCCCCCCCCCCTTTTAATTAAGTTAATTATTATTATAAGGTGTGAGAGTATGATTCACTTGTGTATCTATGTACTTTTTTACGTTCTCTAAACTGTATCACAGTAAATGAGAACAAACTAAACTGACACTGAAACTAGGTGAGAATGTGTTTGGTGTGAATGTGTCAGCTGAGAATGTGTTAGGTGTGAATGTGTCAGCTGGGAATGTGTTAGGTGTGATTGTCTTTGGTGAGACATAGTGTAAAAGCACAATCATACCACGGCAGCACCAACAATATAATGGCAGGCGGACATAACCATTGTGTGTTCATGTGTCAGATACATGGTGGCTCCAAGCAGCAGACAAAGAGATGCCAGACAATCTGCCAGAGACAAGTGGAAGATAGGGTACACCTGGAACAATAAATAAACACGAAATTTGTTTTTAAAAAAATTTACTATGAATCCAATATTTCATGATACTTTTAATCTAAAACAAAAGATGTTTAGCCACAATCAGGCTGATGTCACATAGCTAAGCAACATGCTGCAAATCTATTATATATATATATATATATATATATATATATATATATATATATATATATATATATATATATATATGGGTAAAACAAATTGGCAAAATGACAAGTGCACCAGGATTATTTTTCAATATTAACAGCTATGACTTTTGCTAACAGACTATATAAAAACAGCAAAGAACAAAATATAAAATCCTTTCTGTGTGTGTACATCGAAATTTACAAAAAACTCAACTATATTGGTTGTTGCTTGAAAAGGTAACATTTTCATTACCTCTGGTATGCAGATTTTTTTCTTTATTCCTGCATACACAAGAATGGAACCTGCTCCCAGTAAACTGAAAAAAAAAAAAAAAAATTAGAACACTCTATAAAGTGTTAATAAATTTATAGTACTATTCTACTCTTTATTAAGATAAGTCAGTGAAATCAGCTTTAGCATAATCCTATAATCCTCGAAATTTCATCTATAGTACATGAAACTATGCCATTGTTGCACTAGTCAATTTACCCTTTCATAGGTAAAATTAATGATTTGGTTACAAGATCATAACTTTACATGTAATAATAATAATAATCATAATAAAAAATAAAAATAATAATAGCAAACCTGAGTAAGCTCATTGCAAGATCAATACAACCAACCACCTTCATCTAAAATAAATTAAAAAATAAATAAAACATTTTGTTTTATGAATATATCCTGAGGTTTTGTGTAAGCCTAAAAATATATAAAACTTTATATTATTTAGTGGCACTTTATCAATTCTATTTGCATTAGTGCGTAGTTCAGATAAACATCTAAAAAGAATCTTGCACAGATGCAAATATTTCATTTGATAATAGATAAAATTTCATTTGAAAATCAAATCTGAAGCATTTTACACACACTTCTAATTACTGTAAAAATAAAAATTCTTCAAGAAAGTGGGTATAATTTCCACAGATTAAAAAATTCCAAAAACAAAAAAAAAAAAACGAATTTTAATTGCCACCTTAAATCAGCATTGTGTTTTCGTTCCCCATCAAAACCACATAATAATCAAAATTAGCTAATTATTCTTTAGTCGCTACGTGCAGATTATAAATACTGATAATATATACGACATGAAATAAAATTTATTGTATTGTATTGTATAACTTCTGATCTGTGCTTTAGCATTTCTTTCAGCGTGACCTAGTTTGAACCACTTCAAGCTGGGTCATCTAAAACCATTACACTTACGTAAAGGGACAAGCCAAGTGTACAATAAGTCAATGATATGGTCGGTTCACACCATGTCATTCTCCAAAAGGTGTGCAACTCTCACGTGATTTAATGGCATACAACTTTATCAAACTTTTCTAAAAATCGCCGTGGTCAGCAGCTCCGCTTTTATTTCTTTAATTTAATAAATAAATTGACGTTTCTTTCTTTTCTTTGAGTTTGAACCAAGCGCCAGGTGACGTGCACAACATTTCAAATCAATTTTCTTACAATCGTCACATGCAATCCTGAACATTTCACTTACGTGCTCCTCTGTAAGCATATAAATATCCAGAGAGCTGTTTGAAGACATGCTGGCCATTTTGCAAATCGCAAAGCGCCAGACACAACTCTACCTGTCAAGTCACTCACAAGCCTGCAGCGATGTGCGCTGAGGGTGCGCGAGAGTACGCGTGACTTTGTTATGATCTCGCACTTACGAGAGCGAACAACTTTATTTAAGAGCAAATTTTAAGGTAATTATATCTGTATCGGTATAAAAATACCGATAGATTTATTTTAGTAAAATGTGAGCTACTTATATGTGCCTTCCATTGAAAGTATAAGCATAATTCAAATCATAGGGGGCGCTTTTAACAATTTTGTTTACATAGTAACCATCTTGACAACGAGCGAAATAAATAGCATAAGCAAAGAGAAGGAAGCCATTATCGAGAACTAAACGCTTTGCGTGCATTACTGTACTTTTTAAAATTATTTAACTAAAATTATTTAACTACAATGGCCTCAAACCAAGTCACACAGAACTCACAGGTAAGAAAAGGGTACTAATTAAACTGGTATAACATTAACGATATGGTACAAATCTTTGTTACTGAAAAAATACTTTTCTTATAAGTAAGTCATCACATATTGTCGGTGTCATTTTATTTTATTTCTAAGCATTATAATGTAGAAGTAATAAGCCTGGCGTGTTTTTGTAATGCATAAATTGATTAAAAGGTATAAATTTATCACCATAACGTGTCATTTATGTTGTCTAGACGAAATCTAATTTAGTCTACAGTGGTTTTATTCAGAATATGGAGTATTTTTGTAAATTTGATGCTTGTAAACTGTTTAGGTGCACAGTAAACAGCTTTTGTACCTGTAGGAGAAACCCTTTGATCCGCCCGTCTAATTAAGAGCTTCAATTGGGTCAAAAGAGGTATTGAATTTTGCTCTTCATAACCCTTATATTGTTGTTGAACTCATGAATAAATAATTACTGACATTCTTTTTTTTCGGGATTTTAGGTCGCAGCAGTTGAGGAGGTAGTGGATTTTGCGCCAGGAGGAGTTCCAAAAGGTGCGAAGACCTCTGATTATTATAGGACAAAAAACATTCCAGATAGATTTGAACATCCTGGTAGGAATCCATTTTTATAATTTTGTATAGGACCAATATGTATAAGAAGGCAGCAAAAGTTTTTAAGAGCATTATGACCAGAGGAATTGATTGAAGACTTCTATTGCCAAAGCTGGACAAACGTTGTGGATCAATAAGCTCAAATACTAGTATAGCATGAAATCCATGTGTTAAGACTCCTATTGACAATTTTTGATTCACGCAGTGCTACATTAGCAGAGTGTACACATAAAAAAGTCATCAATAGGAGTGCTACTGCATGAATTTCAAGCTATATTAGTATTGATCACTTGTAGTAATTCCCCTGACCTACTGCATACCATTATTCCTGTCACAGTTGCCAATTATCCACCCTGAGTTCCAAGGGCCATTGCACAGTTGTCTCTCTCTCTCTACTCTCATGCTGGCATACTGATAGTGGTGAGGTCAGTTTCCAACACTGGAACTCCGGGTACAGTTCTGTGACAAAGGGGGGAGGGGGGGGGGTCACAAAAAATAATGAACGAAGAAAAAAATTGATACTTTTGCTGCCTGCTTCCTTTATTGGTCCTATTAAAATGAGGTGTCGTCTAATCAAGATGTCTCTTTTTTCCAGAACCATATAATCTGGGCAACCCTGTGTATACATGTAGAAACAATTACCAAATGCCCCAGCCTAGAGAAGATGGTCAGTATTTGGTGTAGAATAAAATGTATTGTGTGATGGGGTAAAAAAGTGACTGGATGTTATGATTTATGTTATTCCACAACTCTTCTACCACTAGGTCTTACAGTACCAAACAAGAGGCTGTATTTAAAAAAAAACAAAGAATATTTGTAACAGATAAATGATCTATTGGTTGTTATAATCAGAAGACATAATACTTATTTTAAATGATACTTTTGAATGTGGAAATATGTGAAGATGTCACATTTTCCTACAACTCAGTATATCAGGACAATAATAGTTTACTTTAGTATTGATATCCAGTAGATATTGACCAGCAAGACTAATGTGTATTATTATTTTGTTTTTTTCTAGAATGTTTTCAAGGCTATGGAAAACGCGAACATCCCCTTTATAGAACAACAGCAAATAACTATGGAATGCAACCCCCTTCAGTACATACCATGCCTACCACTTTCCACTGTAAATCTCAAAAGTTCTCTGAGGTAAGATTATTGCAAAGCATTATTGATTTGATGAAAAATGCAGTGTCATTTTATTGAAAAAAATATTGATACTATACTAAATATGATATACATTTGGTTGCTTTAAAGAGGACAGACTGGAAAGGCTTAGAAATATGTTAGAAAGATGTTAGTTTGCACAAGGCTAAGCTGTAATAGTTTTCTATAATGAACTTTTATTTATTGTATTCAATTTTTTTTTTTGGAGGGGGGGGTTCAATTAAGTGAGGCTTACACGAGTGATTTTGCTAAAACAGGCAATCAAATGGATAGATAAAAATACATTCAAACAAAATGCTTTAGTGGTTCAGTGGTTCAACAACTGCATCAGTACGCAGTATGTCACATCACATTTCAACATTTTTCTATTGTCGGTATCTTAAAGAGAAACATCATTTTCTTAGGCCTTTAAATGAAAAAAAAAATGACGATTTCTAGTCATTTTCAGTAAATTTTTTTGCACATTTTGATCATTCAAGGTTTAAGGAGAGATGCATTGTTAATGCCCACTGTAATACAGAAATAGGTATGACAGTAGTGATGTCAGCAGTGTAGAGCACCCTCTCCTGAGGGCGGAGATCTATGCTAGTACCAGGGATTATCCCTGCTTCTCTTGTAACCTGACCCTGAAGTTATCAAAATATGAAAAAAATTACTGCAAATGACTAAAAATGGTCATTTTTCTTATTTTTAAGGCACCAGACACAGTAATCACATCCCAAATACTGTATATTTCAAGCAAGATCTTAATGTTTTCTCTTTCTCTTTTTCAGCATTTAGGAATCTGCGGCATGTACAGAGATCAAGGTCTAAACACATCTACAGATAAAAGCAAAGTATGAAGCTGCCAAAACAAATAAAGACTGATTCATTTGGAATCTTTTAAACATTATTTTTATGGACAAGATATGGATTTATTAAAAAAAAGGCACTGGAACTGTTTCACATGGAGATTTCAGTTTGCATCAGTTGAATGATGATGATTTCATGTATGTCAGTCCTCTGCAATGGAACTGTGGTGCAACTCCCAATTTATCAATAACGACAAAACATTTATCATGGAGAAATATCTCTTGAGAGTTGCATGGAAAAATGTGAAGAAGGGAAGGGATTTTTTAAGGAGTAAGGGAGGGAAAATTTTACATTCAAATAAGAAGCAGTGTTGTCGTGAAAGTCACTTTTTGTGGTGCCTATTCTGCTGCTTCACTTGAAATATTTTATCCATTATCGAATTTTCATACTGTGGTGTTCAAAGGAATTCTTCTTCATTGTTTACTCATCATGTGGAATTGCCATTGTCATTTTGTTGAAAAAGATAATAAATTTATTCTAAATACTGTAACAGCGTAATTTGCTGCTTTCAAATGAACAGCCTTACAAGTTAGAGAAGCATTACACATACTTTTTTTTGTGAATAATGTTGAGGATAATATGTGGTAACACTTTCAGTGAAGACATCTTCAGGTAGCTTGTAATATTTATTTCTCTTTTCTTTTGGCTGTTGAAAGTATCACTAAGGCTCTTAATTGAAAGAAAGTAACCACATTATTTCACCAGTAACGGTGACAAATTTACTAGATATACGCAATACCATTTGGTATAATGCAGTAAGAAAGTTGACTAGATTTTAGCAATCAGAGAAAACAGAATTATAACAAAGCAAAACAGAATGCTTATATTTATTCAGCTTTTATTTTTTTCCCCAATATTTCATCTCTCTTCAAATATAACAAGTATGCAAATTGCAGTTGGTTGACTCTCTACCTCAGCTGAAACATCTGCACAAAGCATGTGTTGGCAATGCTACAATTAATCAACCTTTGTTTCAAAGTACTGACCGTGACTGTTCTTTGTGAAGCCTACAGAAAAGAACTTTCTATAAGGCCCAGTTCAAAATAGGGGACTAACTAGTCCAAGGGTCAAATAGCTTTGTAATGGGTCGCCATATTTTACCCTGGGTCTAGTTAGTCCACTGTTCTGAATGGTGCCTAAGACTTGGGAACTGTGGATATCTTTATCAGTTAACCTGCAAAAACCTGCACAGAACAAAATAAAATGGAAATGAATAAATCCTCTCAATGGTATTCATGACTCTTTAAAAATCTATTATAATAAATCATTTTTCTAAAGTATTCTTGTAAGACCTCAGCACTGTAATATAAACTGACTTGATTTGTAATGATTTATGGCTAAATATCAACATCTGACACCCTAAATGATTGATGACACTGTTTCAGTGATGTCACTTTTACTGATAGCCTAATATTTGGGACTGAATTAATCAAAACCTTTTTGATTTGAAACAGTAGGTCGAAGCCTAACAAAAAATCACTTGCAATATATCACATTATCATTACTCAAAGTGAAAATGAATTCAACACAGAAACAAATTCACTGGTATATTATCAGGATATCACAGTTACAAAGCTTGTAATTTTAATTAGAAGAAGAAGAAAAAAAAAACAGAGTACAACATTGGTGCTAACATGGAAATTTTGTTTATATTCTAAGTTTAAAAGACAAGTCTGCAAGTGCATCTGATGCTTTGAAAATTACATTTATGACAACTATAAATGGCACCTTCATGAAAAACTATTTCCAGCCAACAGCTTTAATTTGTTTTCCAAACTAACAATCTTTTGAGTTGAAAATGCAATTAATTTCTACTTATCACAGCTAACAGTAGGCAAATCATGGAGACATTCCCACTAAAAATTACTTCACAATCAAATCGGGGCAAAAAAATATAACCAGAGACCTTTTATCTGAGATGGAATTCTTAATTCACAATCAAAATAGCCAAAACCTAGCTTTGAAATTCACTCAATGTTGCCCAATTGTGACTATTTTTGAGATCAAATTTGTGTACTACACATGTATTAAAGGACAGAACTTTTAACTTCTTAAAAAAAATAATAAAATAAATTATATTTTTAGAGCCTTATTTGGGACCATGACCGAGTGAGACAGTAAGGTGAGCAAAAGTGCATTTAAGAAATCAGTAAAAAACCTTTCTATTTGAGAGAAAAGAGAAAATCAAACTTCAACAAATGCCAAATTCAAATTTATGACCATTCACATTGAGCTATGGATCAAGAAAGAGACATGATTGTCAGAAATGTATAATACCAATTACCCCTCTCATTACAGTTTATCTAACATGTGTTCACTCATGCGGTGTAAAAATAACTCAAGACTGATCATCAGCAAGATTTAGATCACATACATTCTTCATGTTCAGACAATTTCTTCAGTTTAACAAAAAGGCACTCATTTCTTTTGCATTTTGCACCATCTTGCTCTAAAAAAAAAAGAGCTCATCAACCACGGGCACCACACCTCTACAGAAAAAAAAAATGTACCTAATATTATATTATTATGTACAAAGAAGCTAAAATATGATATTTTCACATATTGGCCATGATTGGTAATGCAGCTACACCTGTATGACCCCTGTAAAAACAAACCTGGGGTAAACATGAGCTATATTTCTCCACAATAATACTGGAGCTACATGTATTTACAATAAGTGGGGTGCACTTTTAAACCACAATTTCCACAATTTAGAAGAGGGAAAAGTTCAATGGCAACACATTACACTACCTCTCCCAAATTACAGTGGCTACTATGTAGGTCACACTATGGCCAACAGCATTTTTCTCGTGTAAACTAGCTCATGTGCACTAAGATTTCTGGAAATCCTGATCATTTTAAAATGCCTCCATTGTGCTCACATACATGTCCACAGGAATTGCACTGTTAATAGGTAGACAATGACAATACAAAAGAGAGCAACACTAACTGCAGCTTTTCATATATATATTACAGACTAGGTCCAAAGTCGGAAACCGATTCTGAGCTCTCCTCAAACCAGTTTTGTTGGGAACGTAGATAAAGTTGATACAGCCCTTGTGCGTGCTTCAGCACCGCCTGTACATTATGCTTTCTCACCATCTTATCAAAATGCATCGCAAGATCGTTATAGTCCATAGCGTTCAGCATGATAGTCTCTTTCTGTTGTTCCAGCAGCGTTAGGCACATAAAAACCAGGAATGGATTGCCGCAGCCAAACTCGCTTGGCGGCGGCAACTCGTGAAGCCTACTGGCACAGTCCACCTGTGTGGTCAAATGGTCAGTACAAGAGGTCAGATCTACTTGGTCAGTAAAACCAGAGTCAAAATAGCCTTTAGTTGGAGTTTCAGGCTGAGAGTGAGACGCCTGGGAATTGTTAATCCCAGAATCGCGTGATGCAAGACTTGTTGTGTCAGCCATTGCTAAATTAAGTGGCGCTGGGAGTTTAATGTCGGGTGGCCTTTGCTGGCGAATCTCACTTCCATTTTGACTTTGGGTGGTTCTCTGACCATCTTTAGGCTGGGTGTTGTTATTGTTGTTAGTATTCTGTTTCTGAGACAAACCACCCTGATGCTGAGCCTCTTCTTTTCCCATCTCATTTAATGTGACAAAAAACACAGAATTTCCTTGGCAATCTCCTTTCCAGATATCACTACAATTAGAGGCAAGGGACACTGACGACGAGTTCCGAGTTCCAATGGATTCAAAACTAGATGACTTATCACCAAAAGTGCTATCACTGCACAGTTTTTGACTATCATTTTCTATGCTGTCATTGCACAGCTCCCGTTTACTGGTGTCAGTATCAGTCAGCTCGTTAGAGGGGAATTCAAAACTGCCACTGTTTTCCTCAGCTTCAGTCACATCTGAATTGCACAATGTACTTCCTGTGGTGGACCCCATTTTTCCCATGTCCACCAGGGACTTGTCAATGCTGGCCGATTTTGCTAGTATGGCCTTGGTGACGGGGTCACTGACAGGGACGTACTCATCAGAGCCCTCTAGGGTTTTGCTCTCATCCAATGGGGTGATGGGTTCCACACAGCGCACTGCGCCCTTTGGAGTCGATGCCTTGGAGTCTGGCCCCAATCTTTGAGGGGATGGGCTCCTTGGATTTTTCCCCGCAACAATGACTTTGGGTGGCGGGTTTGAACTGGATGGCGTTGGATGCAGCCGTCTGTACATGGCACGCAAGCGTGAGTAGGCAGTTTCTTTGCTTCCAAATGGAGATCCTGGAGAAAGCGAGGCAGAGCCAATGGTGAAGCCAGGCCCAGTCAGCTCAAGGTCAATCTCGGGAGGATCAGGGGGGATGGAGCTCCATAGTACCTCCAACATGTAGAGAGCATCATTGAAAGGAAACTCCCTCTTCAGTTCCAGCAGCAGCCAGCGATAGCAGAAGAACAAGTCGTCAGCGTCATGGTGCTTCAAGTAGGCATAAAACTCTGGATCATGTTTCTGGAGAAGTAACGACAAGTGTTGGAATTTTGTGGTCATGACATGGCCATCCATCATGAAGTTGTGTTTCATCCGCCTCATGATCGCACAGAAGCAAAGGTACGCATTTGCCTCGTCCTGTTGAACAAAGAGCAGGGGAGACACAACATCTCCCATACCTTGGCAGTAAGACACTTCTGGGTGAGTGACAGCATAGGTGACTAAAATATTAAACAGAGACACAATGTTTTTGTTATCATCAGCACCAGCAAAGAATTTGTGTGTGCGATCAGTTCGCAAGACGTCGCGTTTGACCATGTTTGTAATGTACTTCAGCTCTTCATTAGTGTTCACATGGTCGCGCCAAAAGTCTCGCAACTTGTAATATTCTTGAGATTTCTTCTTGAGATAGCTCATTCTCTCCTTCCCCGACAAGCCATCTGGGAACACATTCAATAGATGGCGCCACACAACTTTGCGCAAAGATGGCTCCACCCCTCCCTGGTAGACACTAAAGCGGAACTCCTGGGGGTTGAGCAGGCATCCATCAGAGTCCAGAAAGTTCTGTAATTCTTTATCACCCATGGGAGGTTTTACTGGCTTGTAATCATCTTCTCCTCTTCTACCTGAAACAATAAATTATCTTAAGTTATATATCCATACTAAAAATTGGAATATAATCATATCATTAAATGGTTTGCTGAAAGAATCATAAGTTACTGTCACACTAGAAAAATTTCTTCAAATTGCACCCTTTTGACATAAATTTCTTAAAACATCCTTTTACTTCCACAAGCTGACAATTTCCATTATGCCACTAATATCTCAAACCAACTACCTCAACTAGTTTTTCATCAATTATTCAACCATATAAAATGTATCAAATATTAAGTATGCTCTTTCTCTCACACACAGTTTACTTGAGAGATAATACCCTCATATTTCATTATCAACACAAGGAAGTCTGCTATGCTACATTGACTTACTAATGACTTTCTGAACATGTGAGACAGTTTTCCCGACATGTGTTGAGATGGAGTCAGACAGGGAGGCCAGAAAAGACTGGCTTGTGCTCGGCGCCTGCATCACCGGTACATCCATGGGAGCAATGATGTCCCAGTCATCGAGACCTAAAAGTGTTCAAGGACAGGACATATTACCAACTTGTTTTGAGTCAAGTTTAGAATAAATAAATAAATTAATGAAAAATTCAAAACTTCATACACAATATTAATATGCTTGTTTTGTGTTCAAGGACAGGACATATTACCAACTTGTTTTGAGTCAAGTTTAGAATAAATAAATAAATAAATGAAAAATTCAAAACTTCATACACAATATTAATATGCTATGTTTGTAAAGACAAAAAAAAAAAAGAGTTCTCATGACTTTTTTTTTTACCTCGACTTGCTTTGCCAAAACCACAAATGGCAAAGTCCAATTATTTTCCCAGTGCAATAATTCGAATGAGTCTGCCTTTACCTTTAAGGCACCACACTAAAATCCAAACAAAACATCCAGTGGTTTACTATGTAGACACAACTACGACTCCTTTCGTCTGTACATACCATCCTCAAAGGGTTTAAGGTCCACTTTAAGTCTAAGGCATGGTTCTGATGCACAAAGAAAGGCTGCGTCGAGGTCCCAGTCAGACAACAAAGCCAGGTAACAATCTTGTCCTCGCTCATCCTTAGCCAGGTAACTCACTGTGAAGTCACTGCAATGAAAAAGAAAGAAATAAATAATCTGAGTGCTTTTTGTAACCACTTTGTAAAAGTTACTGTTCAGTCACTGCAATGAAAAATTAATAAATAAGTAATTTGAGGGAATTTTTCGTACCCTCTAAAATGAAAGTAATTTTTTGTAACCTCTATAAATGTCACTGTAGAGTCACTGCAATGAAAAAGAATCTGTCTTCATTATCCATTTAAGGAGGTATTTTTTGTCCTAATCTCCAAACAAATCTTTGATTTGCTGATCTTTGAATCACTAACTCACTGTGAAGTCACTGCAGTGAAGAACAAAATTTACTCAGTTTGTTTTTTTTTTTTTAGATTGTATAATTTTTACCAAACAGCTTTCATATAAAACTTCACCCAGTTAACTCCCCTATTACATCAAGACAAAGCAAAATAAATAAATAAATTAATTAAATCAATTAAAAATATCAACCATTAGATATATTTCTCTACATTTGTTAATCACAACAATTCAACAAGCCATAACAAAGTGCCAATTACTCAAGGACATCCAATATACACACATAGCTAAAATTATGCTGCCAAACAACAAACAGGCAGCAGTCTTTATTATGTCTATGTTGGGAACTTATGTTCATAGCAGGAAAGTGCTTGAGCCAAAAATGAAGTATATTTAAATTTTACACCCCATTTAAGTTTTTTTACTTTTAGAATTTGACTCATATTTCTGTCACTTATTTTGTTAGAAATTTCTCTTTATAATCATTCCTAGGCTTATGCAAGTAAAAACTTTTCAAAATGCCCAATGTAATTTACTTTGATTAAATAATACAAAATATATATTTTTTAATTTCCTAATGGATTTAACCACATTCTGAGCATGACTCATGAAATCATCCAAAAATATGTTCAGGAAAGGACCAATATTTAAGTCCAAATACTAAAGATGTCTCCCTTCTTTATTTTTTTTCACCAATTAATCAAGATGTACGATATATCAGTGATTACAAAATAAAACATGAGCTCCACTATTCATTTAATGTCTTCAATTTTAACAAAACTGGTTCCTCTCCGTACCTGGTTTTCAAATAATAAATTGATAAATATAATTACTCATCAAAAAAATTCCAGCAATAACTTTTTATTTATTCCAGCGATACCTTTCATCAGTCTCCACTTGCTGTGAAATCTCTGGAGAAAACAATTCTTTTTCCTTCATACTTCTTCTCCTGAAGGGCTTTCTTTCTCTAAACTTGCTTAGAAAATTTTTGCTAAACCTCATGATGCAGCAGTGATACACAAGTAGCAAACTGCACTGCATGCTATTCACCTCACCATGCCGGCTTTATATATATGCAGGCAGCCGGGAGAGTAAACATAGTACATCAGCAAGTTACATTGAGAACAGGTCAACTCAACTTGTGTCAATTGAGGATAACATCATTCAGGTTANAAGTGCAATATTTTGAATGAGTCTGCCTTTACCTTTAAGGCACCACACTAAAATCCAAACAAAACATCCAGCGGTTTACTATGTAGACACAACTATGACTCCTTTCGTCTGTACATACCATCCTCAAAGGGTTTAAGGTCCACTTTCAGTCTAAGGCATGGTTCTGATGCACAAAGAAAAGCTGCGTCGAGGTCCCAGTCAGACAACAAAGCCAGGTAACAATCTTGTCCTCGCTCATCTTTAGCCAGGTAACTCACTGTGAAGTCACTGCAATGAAAAAGAAAGAGAGAAATAATTTTTTTTCTTGTAACCACTCTGTAAAAGACACTGTAAAGTCACTGCAATGAAAAATTAATAAATAAGTAATTTGAGGGAATTTTTCATACCCTCTATAATTAAAGTAATTGTGGAGTCACTACAATGAAAAAATAATAATCTAAGAAGGTATTCTGTCCTAACCTCAATACAAATCTTTGACTTGCTGATCTTTGAATAACTAACTCATTGTAAAGTCAATACAGTAAAGAAAAAATTTACAAAATTTCCACTGTTTTTTTTATAGATTATGTAATTTTTATCACAACATACTGTTCATACTGAACTTTAACCAGTTAACTCTTGCTAGTGTATCAAGACAAAGTAAAATAAATAAATAAATAAATAAATAAATAAATAAATAAATAAATAAAATCAATTAAAAATGTCAACCATCACATTTATTTTCCTACATTTATTAATCACAAAAATTCAACAAGCCATAACAAAGTGCCAATTACTCAAGGACATCCAATATAAACATATATAGCAGAAATAATGCTGCCAAACAACAGACAGGCAGCAATCTTTGTTATGTCTATGTTGTTATGTTCATAGCAGGAAAGTGCTTCAGCCAAAAACGAAATATATTTAAGTTTTTCACTTGAATTTGACTCATATTTCTGTCATATATTTTGTTAGAAATTTCTCTTTATAATCATTTCCAGGCTCATGCAAGCAAAAACTTTTCAAAATGCCCAATATACTTTACTTTGATTAAATAATAACTTATTTTTTGCTTTGCTAATTGGTTTAACCACATTATGAGCACAACTCATGAAATAATCCAAGAATATGTACAGGAAAGGACCAATATTTAAGTCCAAATACTAAAGATGTCTCCCTTCTTTATTTTTTTTTCACCAATTAATCAAGATGTATGATATATCAGTGATTACAAAATAAAACATGAACTCCACTATTCATTTAATGTCTTCAATTTTAACAAAACTGGTTCCTCTCCGTACCTGGTTCTGAAAAAATAAATTGATAAATATAATTACTCATCTAAGAAAAAAAATTCCAACAATAACTTTCTATTTATTCCAGCAATACCTTTCATCTGTCTCCACTTGCAATGAAATCTCTGGAGAAAACAATTCTTTTTCCTTCATACTTCTTCTCCTGAAGGGCTTTCTTTCTCTAAACTTGCTTAGAAAATTTTTGCTAAACCTCATGATGCAGCAGTGATACACAAGCAGCAAACTGCACTGCATGCTATTCACCTTATCATGCCGTCTTTATATGCAGGCAGCCAGGAGAGTAAACATAGTACATCAGCAAATTACATTGAGAACAGGTCAACTCAACTTGTGTCAATTGAGGATAACATCATTCAGGTTAGAGACATTTATTGAACACTGAAGTGCTTGTTTTTTAAAATCATCTTAGCTGATAGGAGTACATTAAACTTTGAACCTGTTGATTGTTTATTTCAAGGCTGCCGGAAACCCCTCATTGTAATAAATATGAACCAAGTGAACCAAGAAATTCATGAAGGTAAAGACTTCAGCTGATTCAAAAGGCAATTCAATAAACTTGTGGTCAAACCAGCTATCAATTTGTCTGTCTTCAACTCTCTCCTTTTAACTTTATTTGTAGACAGGATGAGGTATGTCTCAAAATGAGGCACATCTCAAAATAGAAAAGATTCCTGGGTAACCATCTTCATCCACGTCATATGCTGATAAGGTCATAGGACTGATATACTTTATCTGTTGAAAATCCTTAGCTATACAAAAATCACATTATTTTCCCAAGTAAATCTCTCATTATGATTTTTAATCTAAATTTTTTTCTTTGATACTTTCTACAAGGCATATACATGCCTTTTAATGTTCCTATTTATAGCACCAGACTAAAGAAACCAGATTTTCTTCCCTCCAACAACAGAAGAACAAACAATCAACATGTTGACTGCCTACAGCATGACCTTGGATCTTCAAACTACATGGAACAATTGATAATTGTCCACTTCAGAGAATATGCTATTACCCAACCCTATCTTTATGAGGTAACAGCGGTGGCATTGACTTAGGGACCATTCATAATAGGGGACTAACTAGTCCGAGGGTCAAATATGGCCGACCCACTTGAATACTTCCCCATGGGATATCTATTCAGTGTTTATTAGCGGATTAGTTGGCAAGCTTTGTAGTGGGTTGCCATATTTGATCCTCAGGCTAGTTAGTCCCCTATTCTGAATGGGGCCTTATATTACTCACAGCAAGCTTACTTCTACTCATCAAGGCCATGTAGTTGAAGAGGGCTAAAAAGGAGTGCAACCACGATAGAATTCTTGCTCTTAAAAACATTTATTGATAAGAAGGGGATCCTACTAACCATCAAATTACTGTAGGCCTATCATATATATTGCAATTCATGGTGGGCCCACTGGGAGATAAATAAAGTTGATCTTGCAATCAAAAACATTCAAATTAATTTCACTGTAAATGATGGAAATATTGGTTATGCTGCATCATATATTATTGTCAAGTATTATCATGGGTTTTTGGTTTATCTTACGGTTTTAAAATCAGGTGAGATTTTGCAGCTTTTGGAGGAGAGTGGGATCAGACATAATGGTAGCAAATCCAGTCCGTTGCAGCATTGAATAAAAGACGCCAGAATTTATGCATAGATTTCAATGCAGCAATGAATAAAAGAGAATTTATGCAGATATTTTTTTATTTTGGTTCTTTTCTCCAAAGTTCTATTGATTTATAGTCTATTGCACTAGAGTGTAAATCTACCACATTTTGAGTGTGTCGATCACTTCTTTTCTAAGACAATATGCCCAGTGCAGTGTTTCACCTTTAATTATCACTGGAAAGTTAACCTACCCCACCTCAGGCAGATCCCCATGTATTCTAGTTCGGTACCATGTGAATGCATATCAGTCCTCAACCTTACAAAAACTGGTCATCTACGGTCAGTATAATACCACATACCTTGCTGTCACTGTTACCTAAGGGTCATTGACCACCTTCAGATTAAATTAAATGAAATGATCTATAATTAGAAAATACCAACCTCAATATCAAAAGTGAACTTGAAACAAATGACATCAGTGATAAAAAGCAGATTGCATGTACATCATCAGTCAATGACCACTCTTGAACTGGTCACTGTGAGAGAAAAATGACAGGGACAATCTCATTTTTCTGACAGTGTTATCTGTTGTGAAGGATACAGATGATGCACTGCTCACCAAACACCCAAAAACGATCATGACTGGTCATATTGGGTAAACTTCAAATGACATTGTTATTCTTGCAATTATAGTAACCATATATGTTAAAGTGTTTGTCATATACTGAAGCTGTGGTACACAGATGAAAATAAAATTCTATCAATTCTCTAACAGAACCATCCAGAGTAAAATGGTGAACCTAATTTGCTGTTCATTATAAATCCTAGATAAAGCAAAGTTGCACAATTGTTGATTACGTAATGACTGACTGGTCAACTTAGGACAGAATGTTACCTCACATTAGATATGGCATCAATGATAAGTTGGTAAAGATTATAAGGCAATGATAATTTACTGATCATATCGGTTATTCACCAAAGCTCCATGTGTAATTGGCCATTCATCAGCAACCTGGGAAGCAATTTTGGTGACTGGTCATTTTAGGACATAATCATATCATGGATTAGATTTGTCTTGTAGTAGATTTGAAGGTAATGGAGACATGTGGGCATTTCAGGGGTTAGAGCCTGCAATGATAAGTTATTGTAGATCTGGAAGCAATGATAAGTTTCTGGATTTATTGTTTCACTGATCATATTGGTAATTTCTGGACATCACATGACATCAAAAGTAAGTCTGTTTTTTCTGTAAATAAGCCAATGGCCTGGCAAATTCTGCTAATGATATAGCATCTAGTTACATAGAAAAGATGGTGACCACACTTTCCCAGCACATAAGTAAAGATGGTATTAAAATCCAAAACAATGCAAGAGACAACATTCTTTTTTTTCCAACTTGTTAAATGGAGACTTTAAATATTCTTTTAAAAATACAGAAAATCTACCAGAAAAGGATTTTTTGGCAGTTTAAATTATCATCATTGGATACAAACCTTATATGGGTTTATTATATCTTATCATATTTTCCAAGGCCAATGAAAATTAATTTTAACTTCCATTGGATTTGTTTATCTGATAAAATTTATTTTGGGTGAATGTGTAGAATCCAAATTCCACAAGTCTGTAATGCAAAGGCGTTATTCTGTTTATTTAGTCCATCATGGGAAAGTATAAAACTTATTTAATTAGTCTATCTTGGTAAGGTATAAAATTAACTTTCACAGACCTTGAAAATTGCGATAAGATATATGCACATGCCATGCTTGTTTTTAAATATGCTGATTTAACATAACAGTTATCAACGAAAGAAACCTCCATATTCAGGGCATGTGACCACTGGATTCTAACTTATCAAATATATGAGGATAGTGAAAGTAAACATGTAGGAACTACACTTCAAAGACAAACAAATCTGACAATGCTATACAAATTGAAGCCTTATCAATTCCCCTTTCAAAATTATCCCCAGTGATACATTATCATAATCCCAAGGTAAGTTTAATTTCCTGAGATTGCATCACATGTTGATCTGCTGATGATAAATGTTTCACAAATGTGATCACGTGAAAGCAGAATGTTGTTTTTTAGTGAATGTAATAAATAAATAAATAAATAAATAAATAAATAAATAAATAAATAAATAAATATTTCACCTACTGTGGAAATATAGAGACTGTGCAAATTATTGTTATGAAAGAGTTAAAGAAAAATACTCTTTTGATGTTTTTATACAATAAAGCTATTACTTAACATGTTTAAATCAAATGATAATGATCTTTAAACATCCAACACATGACTTGTATTGTATTTGATGACAAAATACTTGACATCAACTGAAATTTTGACAAATCATCAATTTTTGATCACTATTAGCATTGATTAAAGATCACAAATCATAGTTTTTCAATTTCAAGAAAAAATCAACACACCATGCTCATATGACATATTGATCACTCTCACTGGACATGAAGGATTTGTAGAAAGTGAAAACAAACAGCCAAATACAGACATTTATCTCCTCCATTTTTATCAATAAAGATCAATACATTCATGTAACATGAAACACACGTGTTGCTTAATCAGCCGCAGGTGGCCTGATCACATTAGCCAGTGAAAACATGCAATATCCAATACAAACTTTTAACTATATCTCAAATGATGCAATGATACACAACAGCAACATCGTTACACGCATGTGTCATCAAATGCTCTGCAGTGGTTTTCATGATTTTGATACTAATCACCTGGGAACCAATCACTTTCTTTGGTTCATGTCAATATCTTTATATCGGAGTATGTAAATTAATGGTTTAATATAGCCTATCTTTATCAAATCAGACAGTGGAAATAAAGTTTTCAAAACAAAATTCAAAATGACATATTGATAGACATCAGCAGTATGATATCAAACACACTCATCATGCACCTCGAAACATGTGTCATCCAGCGTTCTGCATGGCGGTGCATGATTTTAATACCAATCACATGTGTCAGTTCATCAATATCATCAAATTTTGTTCTGATATCCCTCAAAGATTGGATATCAAGAGACAAGATACACCAAAAGATCAAGTACAGTTACTAGTACTTGTCAATGTCAAACTATTTTGGGTGTTTTTTATAGATTACAGGCTAAGAAGCTAACTCCCACCAACTACATTACACTGAGATTAAAACCCCAACTTTCTGTGTAAATGTCCTACTGTTCTTTTATTTTAATAGCAAAACTACAACTTTTCTTATAACAAAATACCAAGGGCTATAAATGATCTTGTGTGTTTACAGTTTTGTGTGGATTTTTTGTCTGTGTGCATGTATGAGTTTATTAAGGTCTTAATCATGTATAGTTTGAAATTCTAGTTTCAGCATAAATTTGTATAATATCAAGAAAAATACAAAATGTGGACAATACTTCATGGTCAAAATGCTTTTTCATGCCCCCTCCTTCTCCCATGGCCAAACACTGGTTTGTGCTCACAAATTTTCACGTTTTGTCAAAATCATCACAAGTCAACAATAACACTCCATGCACATGTGACATCCTGATCATTCTAACTGAACGTGATGAATTTGTAGAAAGTGAAAACAAATATCCCGACACAGACATCTATCACCCCAACTTTATCAATGGATCAATACTTTCATGTACCATGAAGCACACATGACACTTGATCAGCTGAAGTTGGCTTGTGAAAGTTAAACAGTGAAAACGTGTCTGTCATGAAATGATCTGCACTGCTTTGCATGATTTTGATTCAAATCACTTGGGAACCAATCACTTTCACTGATTCATGTCAATATCTATATATCAGAGTATGTAAATAAATGGTTTATTTTCACCCATTTTTATCAAATTAGATAGTGAAAATTAATTTTCCACAACACATCTGCAGTATGGTATCAAACAAAAACAATTTGCACTGTGTTATGATTTTTATGCCAACTACCTGGGAACCAATCACTTTTTCAATTTAATCATTTCACCTGATCACCATACAATATACTCCAATGAGAGAGAGAGAGAGAGAGAGAGAGAGAGAGAGAGAAAGAGAGCGGTAATATGTGAACAATCTGTAGACAATATCACACATCTACTAGTAATGTCATGACATGTTATGGAATAGGAATGTGTGTGCGAGCAAAAATTTTTATATATCAAAACTGGTGATCTGTTCTCCTAATTAGCCAGTGAAAGTGCACAGATTCACTGTTTGCAATTTGTACCTTAATTCACACCACGGACATAGGACACAGTACACATGTAGGGATACATGTGCACAAGCACATGTGTATGGTGATGCAGATGTTTGCACAGCCTTATCCTTTCTTTTTATCTCTTCACCCGACATTCATGCCACGTGAGATCAGATAAGATTGTTACTGAAATCATTTCTATTACACAATCAGGCCTTGTTAGGATGATCATATTTGAAATACAGATATTCCACAAGGGATATTCTGTAGTTGGAATTATTTGAAGATCAAGTAAATGAACTTAAAACATATTTTTAATTCTAAAAGTGGATGATCAATCATATTGGTCATGTTATTTTTTCATCAGTTTGTCCATGACTCAGTGATAAAAACATGATTTATCCAATATTTCTTAGTATGGATTATTACATCATTTTATTTATTTATTTATTTATTTATTTATTTATTTATTTATTTATTTTATTATTTTTTTGTGATTTTGGTGGTTAAATTTTATTTGGGTTGATACTTGAAGGCAGCTTTCAACATGTTACTGAGTACTGTATCCTAACTTAGGAGCTAGTCAATAAGATCAATTATTAACTGAAGTCAGGTAACCATATTAGGATAATGACGTCTAGGTCTGTTTTGAGGCAAAGAAGATAACACATTACCTTAAACTTAGTAATAAACAGGTACAGGATAGCAATTTTGTGTAGAATCAATATATGTATACTCAATTCATTAACTTGTGGTGTTGATATTTACAAGTGGAAAATTACACAATTCCGAGCTTTGAATTAGTTGTAAACATGTAAGCCTTATCAAATGAGATGTCTAGAAATAGGCCCATCCATATGTAATTGCATAATACCGACTGATATGTACTGGCACCAAGACAGAGCTGTATGAGTAATAAAGCTGGACTTGGCAGATAAGATGCATATGTACCAGTCTAGCAGACATTGGAGACAGTCAGCAAATATAGTAACCTTGTACAGTAACGACCTGGAGAATCTGCCTTGACCCACACCACTTCTCTTTTTCTTCTTGTATGAATACAATTTATCCCCAATCTGCGGCCAATTTTACAAAACCGTCCAAATGAATGATGTTTCGATTTGTGTCTTCCCCTGCCAAATGTATTGCCACCATAAAGTGTTGATAATATAATGAGGTGTGTCTCCTTTTAAGTAATTAAAATTACTACCCTCAACCCCCTGCCACCTGTTACTCCCCTCAGGCATTATCTAATAAATCCTCCCTGTTCATTTCCCAGTATTTTTATGTACAATGCACATCTTTTGCAGCTGAGGGACATAAATTATTGTGACCTGACATCGGATACTGTGTCGCTGCAGGTAACAGTGCAACCTGTTACTCAAGTATACATGTAGTGGATAGGCTACAACAACAAAGCTATCCACAGTCAGGAGAAGAGATCGTTTTGAATCAAGGTCTATCAGGGCTATTAACTTTTGTCTAATACCGTACCTCAACATGCTAATCCTCTCTTTTTCAGCTCATTGATAATTACTAGTACTTTTTTTCAGAAGTATGAAGCCATGGAAAACATTTTTCCCTAACAGAACCAGTTATATTGCATCCAGGGCTCTAATCAGCGCACTGCTCCTTTCTCATAATAACAGCTACAAAAATATGCAATATTAGGATGCATGTGCCACATCCATCAGGGCATGAAATTACACAGAGCCAGTGCCTTTCTGTCTTCTTGATTGCATATGACCATTGGGAAGAATGAGTTATTAGGTGGTCATTTAACAGTAACCTGCCATCCTTGTAACACAGACAGCAATTGTGACAGTGGGACAGGTGATCGTAGCTGTCATCTTGTACAGGTGGCATCTGTCAACCACAACTCTTCTCTGTTCACGTGTGTGTGTGTGTGTGTGTGTGTGTGTGTGTGTGTGTGTGTATATATATATATATATATATATACAAAGAACACCTGAGCCAAATATTACTCATGTTTTTATAATTAATCTGTGGAATAAATAAATAAATAAATAAATAAATAAATAAATAAATAAAATAGAAATGATAATTACCGCAAGTATATTGGTCTGCTAGTTCAATGGCTGACTTTTCAAGGCATCTTAAAAAGTTTATGACCGTAAGACTTAATCAAACACAGAAAAAAGAATGATGCTGAAACAACCTTCATCCGCTGGAGAAATACAATATGAAGCCCAACTGTCAAGCATTATCGCTAAAGATTAACAGCAGCTNTAGTTTTATTATCATATTCATCACTGTACATTTTCACCTGCTCCATCTGGTGTAACAGCATGTTTAACACAAGAGATGGGTACACAGGCTCTTGCAGTCTAGGAGGAAAAGCATTAACAGTGATGTGGCCGCGAAGCTGGCAGACTGCTGGCAGTGCTGCACTGGTGGTACACTAATATAATGTCCAACTCACCCAGTGACATCAAATGCTCTCGCTAGGAGACTCTGAAGAACCTCAAATGACGTAATCTGAGGGTCGATGCTGAACTTCTTGTACTCGGGCTGTTTGTAGCCATCACTTTTCTGGAAATAAATGTTGCCATCATAAATATGATTTGTTAGCTAGGTGTTTTACACACTATTTCATATCATTTTTTTAAATAAAATAATCAAAAGGTAAATTTGAGCATTTCTTACAGATGAACAATTTAACTGTGGAAACCCTTGCAGAATTGGAACATTTTCTGTGGACATAGCAACAAAATATATGAAATTCAAAGCAAATGTGCAGAATTCTTAATGTAAGGTCAGTCATCAAATGTCATCTGGGGGGATTCCTTAGAAGGACAGAGAGATCATGTTGTCAAACATTAGTTGAATCTCAGGGGGACAAGGGATGTCACAGTTTGACAGTCTATTAGTCTCTATTAAGACCTCAAATGAGCTGATAACATTCCTGACACACAATGATTACCTTGAATGAAATTCCTCAGCTCAATTCCTAATACTTTTTTTTTCAAAACTTGATACATCTTTCCCATATTCCAAAATCATTTTGACCAAAGCACTAAATGCATGAATGATTTTAATATATTTAAACATAAAATCGTTTTTATTATATGATCTCAAACTAATTTCAAACACAATAATGAGAACCAGATCTGAAAGCCCAAAGACGATTTTTAATTACACTGGTCATGCAGTTTCCTAAATCCAATGTCCTGCATTACAGGTCAGTCCACTTAATGACCAGTCCAGGTTTATCCCCAATAAAACTTTACTACTCCAGCCTAAACACAGTAACAGATGATATCAGTTTAATCCCCAGTCACTTGTGACCAGTAGTTTGATAAACTGGCCAAAGGCAAATAAACATGTTTATCCCAGTGATTAGACTTGAAATAAGCTGGCGGGTTTCAAGAAGAGTGTCTCCTCCTTGTCGAAGTTATATCTAGGAAGGATTATTATTAATTGAATCAAAACAGATTTTTCCACAGGGAAAAGAGTGACAAAATACCACTGACTTACTGGCTTCAAGCCTACACCTTTAGTTTTTAAAGTAAGAATGGTAGATTCACTGAACTGAAACTTTATCTAAACTGTTATCTTCTAGAAGAGAAAGAGTGATCTCATCTGAATTACCTCACAATCTCACCTAATAATTGTGCATTTTGAATTCAACTGAAACTCCAAATAACATCATTTCATTTTAATTAAATGCATAATTAACAATATCAAAGCTCACTGATTTTACATTTAAAACAGATAACTTGCATTACAAAGGCATTTCACAGATGAGCATCACTTGTGTCATTACACATCACCTTAATTGAAATCTTGCCATTCATCAGAGCACCTTTAATCCTTATCAATGCATTTTATCATAATCAACAAAACCCCAGCATAATCTCTCTCAAAGATCAACTTGAACCATCGTACCACGATGCACAAAAGCCAAGGCATGTATCAACTCTGCAGGTTAATTATTCATTACAGTTGGTTACAGCAGACAGAGCAACCTGTTGCAACAGTTTACGCCACGTTTAATTTCCACTTCTAAGGTCAGTTGAGAAACATACTAGAATTAAGACTCTTTTGGTTGGAACAATACAGGTGTGCGCACACGATTACACGACTGATCAATGGGTAACTGCATGGACTTTCAGGTGCAACTTATTACTCTTAAGTATATTAAGTAATCTTATTAGTCACTGCCCCAGTGAACTATTTTTAGACACAGGCAAGCTCAGGTACTTAAAATTAGGCTTCCTAGCCAATGCCCCCTTCTGACAATATAATTATATAGGATAGCAGTAGGTGTTGGTACAGAACAAGGGGTTTTCAATAGAGGCCTACAGGGGATAAATTAAAGCTGTGAAGGTAAACAAGTATCACAATAGTTAAATACTGAGAGTTGGTCCCTTTAAATCCATGTGGGATGGGCTGGCTGAAGACTAGGGGGCTAGCTGTAAACTAACCTGTAAACTAACAACTAAAATATTCAATCAGTGTATTAGGCCTTGCCAGCAAAAACCAACCACTGCAATTTCTCCGAGGCTGAATCTTTTGCCCAAATACAGTGAATAAACTGACTTGTCATCTCCCTCCTCACTTTCCCAGATTTTTTTTTAGTTTTTATCGAATCTCCACACTGATTTTCAATGTTGTGTTGCTAAGAAGCAGAGATGGATAAGGCAAGTGGACTATTTATAACTCAATCAATATCCTGAATCTTGGAACCCACATTCTAGTCCCACTTGGACTCTGAATGAAGAATGAAGGATATTAAGTCTCACTTCCTAGTTCAAGCTATCTTGAGAATATATGGTTGAATAACTCAGTCAAACTTCCTACTTGAAAATTACTGAGCACTAAGTCTGAAAGTCTTCAGATAATTAATCCCCCCTTACATAAATATTGCCAAGAGATGGCCATCAAGTTAATATTTTCCCCTTATTATCAAAAATCACAGTGGGTATGGAATGGCATAACAGAAATAATATCTGCCTTCACATGTCAAAGTAATACTGTCAACATGAGGATTATGTCAAATGGATTATTATTCTTTTACTTTTTATGTCAATTCACCTGTGTAGGAAAAAAACAGCAGACTGAACAACAAGTCAAAACAATGTGGGTTACAAAAATGCAAGAAATGATTATTGAGGAAGTATATCATTGTTGCACACGATGTTGATAGTATGACATTAATCACCAATATTTTTTCATCGAATCAATGACAGTGACAGTGGCAATAATGACATCTAACAGTCTCAAAGTAGACAAAAAACAATGAACTTAAGTTGGTCTTTCTAAGCACGTACATTAACAGTCTTAGCACAAAACAGTGCACGTGCCGAAACTTACAACAGCTCGACATGAAAATGAAATGAAAACAACAGTCCACACATGACTGACGAGCCGTCAAAACAGCTGAATTATACATTAGCCGTTCATTCATTCCACATAAACCTACCTACCTTCACTTTCACTCGTATCACTTCTCTGTTGCTGGATCCTATCATTGGCGTCATCTTTTGGATATCATGGGACCCAGGAAAGCTACACAAGACAACCGGTGTGTTGCCAGCTCTGAAGTGAACTGCAGGATGCTATCGGCACCATCTTCTGACGTCACGAAGACTCGAAGTGAAACTAGGTCAAGCCATCTTGAGTACGCGTGTCTGCACCGTGTCCTCGTGGCACGTGAGGGCAGAGTCCGCTGCGAAGAGGCTGTTAGCCGGTATCTCGCTAGCTTTTGTGCTATCTCGGCAACGAAAAAAGATCTAGAGTACAAAGTGACAAAAAAATTTACATTTTATTTTTCAATTTTAGCATTTGATGCTCTTGATTGTGATTTAGGCCTATTTAGCGTTATTTGTTTCACCAAATAAGCATGTCAAGAGATGTGGGGTTACAAATGAACATTTTCCCCACAGTTCTAATTTTAATTTAAATACGATGGCCAGGACAAGATCTTGGGACTCACGTTCACTGTGCGAAGGCCCACAGGTAGGCCTACGTACTTTATTCGGCACGAATGCCGCGGAGATCCCTGACTCTATCCAGCACTATCTTGGGTTAAGATTAGATATGCAATATCTTTATTGCCGTTTAAAGCCCTCTTATCAGGTGAACATCAGCACACTTGCAAGGGCGAAATTCTAAGTGGTTAAAACTAACACGAATGATATAAAGACCTTGGAGCAGACTTTACTGAGACTTAGTTCTTATTATTTTTGGAAAAATTATGCAAATGGCGTTTGGATGGTCCATTTCGAGGTTTCAATATCACGATCAGGGAACAGCCCCAAGAAAAGTAAATAGACCTGCAGACCTTTTGCAGAAATATATGTCGAAGAGGGAACCGACTTCACAAACTGTACTGCAGGGCCTTGAATGTGCCATTAGATCACAATGCATTAATCCAATTAATGCAGCATTACCATCTCGCGTGTACATAGCTTAGCCTTATTCTACGTAGTATTTTAAATTAAAAATTCTCATGTTTTAGACTTAATGCATTTTGATGACTGTAAGGTGGACAATCTAGACACTGGCTTGCCACGATTCAAATTTATCACAAATGCTTTTTTCAAAAAGGAATACCAATAAACACATCAATGTCCCCGGATATTGCCGGCTAGCCGAATGTCCGTCACACATGCTTCACTTATGCACCTGTACATATACATCAAAAGTGCGTTTACGTATTACGTAATACATAGTTCATTGGGCTGGATCCAGGGAGCGTACTTCATCACGCGGAGACAGGGGGCTCGACATGAAGGTTTTATAGCGGGGTGTTACATGATATTAACTAACGGCGTCGCTGGGGGGGGGGTCTATCTTCATCTAATTACTGCCGTCGCCGTTTTGTCCTTCATCTTGCATTTCATTTCTTATTTAAAGTCACCTGGGATTTACATACTGGCTTTAGATGCAAATCAGGCTAAATTATCTTGCTTGTGCCTACTGATGATATTTCGGCACTCGTCAGAATGTTAGTGCAGAGAAGCCTAAAATATTGCCCGTTGATGTTTGAAGCTTGCATTCTCTTTAAATTACCTGTAGGCAAAATACAAAATGATGAAGAAGACAAAACAACAAGGTATGCCAATTAAATAAATAAATAAATAAAATAAGAAATGAATCAATGGATGTCAAAATCACGCGTCACTTTGAGTTCAAACGTAGCGTACAAAACTACCCAATAACGAAAATGTTTCGAATAATTTATAAGCACCCACTTACCACTATGCATTTATTAAATCAATATAATAATTTAGTGCACTTAGTTTCAAATCGAGCATGATGTTTTCCTTCCACTTTCCTTTTCTATTAGCGTTGATATTTTGAAGCAGTCACTATCAACATAAATGCGAATGAAAACAAAATCTTGAACTACGAAACGGCATATACAGTTTCGTTACTTTCCTTGTGGGATATATATGTATTGGGAATCGCTTTCGCTCGTTTTCTGTTTGCAAGCTTAAGAGTCCTCACATAATTGAGTCANCTGAGCGAAAAATTCAAGGGTAGGAAAAGCTCGGTCTGTGAAAAAGCCGATTTATTTTTCAATACATCATGTCATCAGCAAAGAGATAGAGGTAGGGCAATTTTAGCGTTTACTACTTAACGGAAAAGTAAAAACGTCTTGTTTATCATTAAATTTACAATTCATTTAGATATGAAACTTGTTAGGCATTATTATTATTTACGACGTACTGTACCTGCATCGTCGCCATGTGCACCTGCTTCACCCTCATTTCTTATCGTGTCTTGAAGTTTACGTGTCTTGTTTAGCGACTTTGCTTGGTTTTTCCCGTGCTTTCGTCTTTGATTTTCCACTCGAGGAACTCATGTTCAAAGATATTCATTTTCTGAACATTAAACTCCGTCAGACTTGAGCCCGACTTACGCGCGCAACCTGAATCTCGCATCAGCTGATCGTGCATAAATGGCTGACTGATATTCGTTCCCCGTACTACGCTCTCTAGTGCCCATTATTTGTGTAGGCTTGGACGCTGTCTTAACTTTGTTCCCGCACATTAATTTGTTTCAGTGAGCTGCGTAGGTTTGTACCTTTCTATGTTATACATGCTAGCTGCGCAGACTTTATCCTTTCTATGTCAATCATTGTGTAAATGGGATAGGGAACGAGTCAGATACACCACCATGAGACGATTTTGATTGACAACTCTCTCGAAATTCAAAAGGAGGCCCCATAACAAATTCTAGCTAGTCACGTGAGTGCGTCCTTAGTTTCAGAGTAAGTACTTACGTCTAGCTTACTTGCGTTGTGGAAAATGGTTAAATAATTGACCGCTTGTATCAGCACAACTAAGTGCCAGGAAATGAATTTCATGTAACAGTTCTTCGGGAAAGCGACCTCTAAGCGCAGTTTCCCGAGAGGTTTTTGCATTTCCCGGGCATTTTCAGTGATTTACCGGACGGGAAAGTAAGATATGACATAGATTTCCCGAGCTCGCAATAGCTTTCCCTCGGGAAAGCGGGAAAGCAACATTTCGACCCCTGAAATACATTGAATAAACTGACTTGTCATCTCCCTCCTCACTTTCCCAGATTTTTTTTTTTTTATTTTTTATCGAATCTCCACACTGATTTTCAATGTTGTGTTGCTAAGAAGCAGAGATGGATAAGGCAAGTGGACTATTTATAACACAATCAATATCCTGAATCTTGGAACCCACATTCCAGTCCCACTTAGACTCTGAATGATGAATGAAGGATATTAAGTCTATCTTCCTGGTTCAAGCTTGCTAAATATCTGGAGAATATATGGCTGAATAACTCAGTCAAACTTCCTACTTGAAAATTACTAAGCACTAAGACTGAAAGTCTTCAGATAATTAATCCCCCCTTACATAAATATTGCCCATGAGATGGCCATCAAGTTAATATTTTCCCCTTATTATCAAAAATCACAGTGGGTATGGAATAGCATAACAGAAATTATATCTGCCTTCACATGTCAAAGTAATACTGCCAATATTGAGGATTATGTCATTCTTTTACTTTTTATGTCAATTCACCTGTGTAGGAAAAAATAGCAGACTGAACAACAAATCAAAACAATGTGGGTTACAAAAATGCAAGAAATGATTATTGAGGAAGTATATCATTTTTGCACACGATGTTGATTTTAATCACCAATATTTTTTTCATCGAATCAATGACAGTGACAGTGGCAATAATGACATCTAACAGTCTCAAAGTAGACAAAAAACAATGAACTTAAGTTGGTCTTTCTAAGCATGTACATTAACAGTCTTGACGCAAAACAGTGCACGTGCTGAAACTTACAACTGCTCGACATGAAAATGAAATGAAAACAACAGTCCACACATGACTGACGAGCCGTCAAAACAGCTGAATTATACATTAGCCGTTCATTCATTCCACATAAACCTGCCCACCTTCACTTTCACTCGTATCACTTCTCTGTTGCTGGATCCTATCATTGGCGTCATCTTTTGGATATCATGGGACCCAGGAAAGCTACACAAGACAGCCGGTGTGTTGCCAGCTCTGAAGTGAACTGCAGGATGCTATCGGCACCATCTTCTGACGTCACGAAGACTCGAAGTGAAACTAGGTCAAGCCATCTTGAGTACGCGTGTCTGCACCGTGTCCTCGTGGCACGTGAGGGCAGAGTCCGCTGCGAAGAGGCTGTTAGCCGGTATCTCGCTAGCTTTTGTGCTATCTCGGCAACGAAAAAAGATCTAGAGTACAAAGTGACAAAAAAATTTACATTTTATTTTTCAATTTTAGCATTTGATGCTCTTGATTGTGATTTAGGCCTATTTAGCGTTATTTGTTTCACCAAATAAGCATGTCAAGAGATGTGGGGTTACAAATGAACATTTTCCCCACAGTTCTAATTTTAATTAAAATACGAGGGCCAGGACAAGATCTTGGGACTCACGTTCACTGTGCGAAGGCCCACAGGTAGGCCTACGTACTTTATGCGGCACGAATGCCGCGGAGATCCCTGACTCTATCCAGCACTATCTTGGGTTAAGATTAGATATGCAATATCTTTATTGCCGTTTAAAGCCCTCTTATCAGGTGAACATCAGCACACTTGCAAGGGCGAAATTCTAAGTGGTTAAAACTAACACGAATGATATAAAGACCTTGGAGCAGACTTTACTGAGACTTAGTTCTAATTATTTTTGGAAAAATTATGCAAATGGCGTTTGGATGGTCCATTTCGAGGTTTCAATATCACGATCAGGGAACAGCCCCAAGAAAAGTAAATAGACCTGCAGACCTTTTGCAGAAATATATGTCGAAGAGGGAACCGACTTCACAAACTGTACTGGAGGGCCTTGAATGTGCCATTAGATCACAATGCATTAATCCAATTAATGCAGCATTACCATCTCGCGTGTATCTAGCTTAGCCTTATTCTACGTAGTATTTTAAATTAAAAATTCTCATGTTTTAGACTTAATCCATTTTGATGACTGCAAGGTACTGCAGTAGACAATCTAAACACTGGCTTGCCACGATTAAATTAATCACAAATGCTTTTTCAAAAAGGAATACCAATAAACATATTAATGTCCCCAGATATTGCCGGCTAGCCGAATGTCAGTCACACATGCTTCACTTATGCACCTGTACATATACATCAAGAGTGCGTTTACGTATTACGTAATACATGGTCCATTGGGCTGGATCCAGGGAGCGTACTTCATCACGCGGAGACAGGGGGCTCGATTTGAAGGTTTTATAGGTGTTACATGATATTAACTAACCGGCGTCGCTGGGGGGTCTATCTCCATCTAATTACTGCCGTCGCCGTTTTGTCCTTCATCTTGCATTTCATTTCTTATTAAAAGTCACCTGGGATTTACATACTGGCTTTAGATGCAAATCAGGCTAAATTATCTTGCTTGTGCCTACTGATGATATTTCGGCACTTGTCAGAATGTTAGTGCAGAGAGGCGTAAAATATTGCTCGTTGATATTTGAAATTAGCATTCTCTTTAAATTACCTGTAGGCAAAATACGAAATGATGAAGAAGACAAAACAACAAGATATGCCAATTAAATAAATAAATAAATAAAATAAGAAATGAATCAATGGATGTCAAAATCACGCGTCACTTTGAGTTCAAACGTAGCGTACAAAACTACCCAATAACGAAAATGTTTCGAATAATTTATAAGCACCCACTTACCACTATGCATTTATTAAATCAATATAATAATTTAGTGCACTTAGTTTCAAATCGAGCATGATGTTTTCCTTCCACTTTCCTTTTCTATTAGCGTTGATATTTTGAAGCAGTCACTATCAACATAAATGCGAATGAAAACAAAATCTTGAACTACGAAACGGCATATACAGTTTCGTTACTTTCCTTGTGGGATATATATGTATTGGGAATCGCTTTCGCTCGTTTTCTATTTGCAAGCTTAAGAGTCCTCACATAATTGAGTAATTCTGTTGATTTTCTTTACACAACATTTCCTAATATGTATTGGTATTTGATGTTTGTGTAAACATTATAAAAATAGTATCTTATAGTAAAACTAGTATTCATGGCCTCGTGTTCCTTTAAGTCGTGTAACTTTTCGACCGGTAACTAACACCACAAACAAAATTTCGTACAAATATTAATAATATCCTAACTTTCTGACAAGAAAGCATTTAACGGTTGTTTTCATGTAAAACTTTCCATTCAAAAGTGTTTATTTTTTCCGCTTGCAATTAAATGAGGTTAGAGACAGACGCTAAAACTGACCGCAAGCCAACAAACACATTTACGACGAAAATTTTCTATATATAAATAGTGTTCATATAAGTGTTGTAACTTTTCGACTGGTAATTAACAACAAAACAAAATTTTCCACAAATACTAACAATTTCCTAACTCGCTGACAATAAAGCCTTTAACGATTGTTTTCAAGCAAAACTTTCCATTCAAATGTGGGTATTTTTCCACTTGCATATAAAATGTTGTTAGAGACGGACGCTAAAGCTGACCCCCCCCCCCCAACGAACACTTTTTCGAAAAAAAAAATTTTGCAACATACTAAAAGGAGTGAAAAAGTAGCGTATATCGCTATTAAAAGAAGGCACCGAGCAAGCAATTAATCAACTATTCTGTCGCAGTAATTGTATCAGAAGGCGCAGCTGGCATTCGACCCTGGTGTGCATGTCGCTATCAAATATTCGTATGTGTAAACCGGTCGGTGTGGTTTCAAGCATGCCAGATAAAATGACTGACAGGTGTCAAATACAGGTGGACGAAAGCTACACTCGGCAAATGGCTAAAACAATCAGTTTGGACCACCTTTCCAAACGAATTCGGACCGTAACTTTTCAAAAATTTAAAGTACCGATTTCGCTGACCGTTGCCAAGTAAGTGCATTCAAAAACAAAGTTGACTTCAGATTCGATTAATATGATATAAATTTACCTGTAATCCCTGCTAGTATTTCCGTTAAAAGATTTATGGTCTACTTTTGATGTTTTTATGTATAGTTAACAGAGATTTTTTTCTGCCGCACAAAGAAAAACGGAAAAACAAACATGTATATGTAACCGAAACAACCCGATTTAACAGGTACGAATTCCATACAATAACCTGTTCGTGGCTTATGGGTCATGTATTATCGTATAAACAAAAGCATCATGAGAATTACGTGCCCGAAAACAGGATTGGAAAGATAATTTTTTTTACAATTACATGGAGTATTAAAATAAAGAGACTCCTGCCTAAAAACATAACTTTTATGCCGAGCTGCTTGTCTGATTAAAAACTTTTTCTTCTAAAAACAAAACATACACATAAAATGATACTGAATGGAGAATTTTTAATTGGCGATATCTGATAATGGAATCAAGATTCTTCAAAGAAAAAATGATATACTTGGCCCTAATTTTTGCGTTAGTAAAGTACATACAAATAATCGCTACTTTTACTAACTGTTAATTCGTAGAACGGTATGCCTAATATCATAGTATTATAACAGAATGTATAATAATAATTCGCCGAAGATTTTATGAAATTCGCCCATGTTTTCTGATCTCTTTTATATGGATAGTTGGACATCCAAGGTAACACTTCCACAAACATCACTGCATAAGGAAGACCTCTTTTAAAACGAGCAATTCTTTGAAAAATATAATCGACAATTCTCTTCAAATCCCCCCTCTTGGATAAACTGAACATAGGGCAGTAATAAAAAAGTGGCCAATGACGAAGATTATTGGGTGCAGTAACATACATCGTCTCAATGCAACAAATTTTCAAGGAAATGAAGTGTGATCACCTTAAGAAATTGGTAACTAAATCTTTTCCAAGAAACCAATCACATTCACTGTACAGGAATAAACCACCTTTTGAGCAAGGTCTCCAAACCCCACAGTGCATTGCGCTAAAAAGCCTAAAAGCTATATACCACAGAAGTCCCTGACGAAATGATCCAGTCTCAATTGGCAATTTAACACTGATAACATCCTTCCCAAGTTCACTCTATTTTTCCAAAAGCTTGTATATTTACAAATCCTGCGACAGCTGTCCTTGTCTATGTCAAACAAATTACCTGGTGCCATGACAACCTTTCATAGTAACGACAAAATGATCTGAAAAGAAGTGCCAAGCTGGTATTCCAATGCAATCATTTTTCTAATTTTGATTGAATTTCTCTCATGTTAAACCCCCCAAGGTAAAACAAATATGGCATACAATTTTGAGAGGGTAGGTATCAAAAAAGCAAAAACAATCTTGATCAATCCAGGGAATTCTTGAAGTGGTGAGTATCCCAATCACAAAAAGCACTTTTGATCCGTGCCTTTTCATTTCCATAACATAGAAGTAGTGTCTGTAGTTATTATTAATGCTAATAATAATATCTGGGGAAAATTCCTATTTAGCTCCTAGGAATCATTGTTATGCATTCTTTAGTTCATTCCCTATTTTGTAACCTAGGATTTTGTTCCAGTCTATCTTGGTGCGTGTTACAGGCAACTGTCGACGTAATGCCTTGAATGTTGTGTCCGACATTGTCAGGTAGTTCTTAGAGATGGCAGTCTGAAAGACAATAGATAAAAGGGTTATGGAGAGAGTTAAAAAATAATTGTAACGAAATCAAATAATTAATTATAATAATAATTTTTCATAAAAAAATTAAATCAAAATAATAAATATATCATAAATTATTTTAAAATTGAATTAAATAGAAATTATTTTTGTGACTGAATTTCAAAGTTTACCCCCCCAAAAAATAAATTAAAAAAATAATAATAAATAAATAAATTCTTACGCTTCATTCACAAAACAGTCATGTTAAAATAAGTAATTCAAAAATGTAAAATCTGAGTTGCAAATTGTTTTATCTCTCCAGAGTAAACGATCTTAACACCAAGATCATAAGCCTTACACACTGCAGTAGCATGTTTGTCTGTCCTGGATTAGATGATGTAAAGCACTTGAACAAACACTGACACAGTAAGTGTGTCTATAACATTTGCTTTGTCTACTTCAAGAGCCAAAACTCAAGGTTATTATTGTCTCAAATTACTGGTGTACTACAAGTCACACACACAAGCTCTACATACTAAAATGTTGGTTGATAAAGGCGTAGCTTGGTAGAGTGTCCATGTATTTGTGTGTGTGAGTGTGTGTGTGTGGGGGGGGAGCAGATCAATGATACTGAAATTTGTTTAGAAAACATAACCATATTATGCAGAATTTGGATAGACCTTAACTCAAATGTTTTCTAACACCCTCCCATAAAAAGAAAATGTGTCTGAGGACAAAAGTAACAATTCGAATAGACATAGGTGATCAGAAAAATTTAATAAATATAGATAAAATATATTATAACATGGATTTTATAACTAAATGTACCATGCAATGGAGGAGTTAAGTAGAGATAAGACTGAACCTCAGACTAAAACTTTCTGGCAGATCAGTCAACTCTCCTGCACAGTTGTACTGAACTTGAAATAACAAGTTCATGGCCAGTCTAGCATATACAGTGAGGATGTGAGCAGTGTGTTAGAGAAGAAAAGACCACAATTGAAAAGGAGTTGCACAACAGAATGACTTTAATTGTGATAGTTGTGATTTGTGAACTGAGCACAAGCCAAACTTGTTCCTTACTTGGTATTCATTCTCTGCCTCTTGTACAATTTGAACAAACTTCTTAGCCGTTTCTTGTTCACTCTGTATTTGTTTTCAGAAAATAGTAAAACGAAGATTACTATACAAAACATTTTCAAATCACTTACATGATACATATTAAGATTTTATCAAATACAATATCAAAAGATTTTTGACAAAAATGTGATAGATGAACCAACCATTAAAGAAATAAAGATTGATTGTAAATGCCAAATATAAATGAAAACTTTTAAAACAATCTTACTTGGGCTCTAAATTCTGTAAAATGTTCAAATAAATTAAAAATAGGAAAAGAGGAAAAACTTACGGATGCATTTAGATCATTTTTCACTTCTTTAGAACTCACTAGTTGGACATTACCATCCTCATAATAGTGGACCTGAAATGGCAACACAGAAATACATAATGTCTCTGGGAATAATCTACAATTCACTTTACACAAAAACATCTCCATTTAAAATAGGACATTTTTGCAAAATTATAATGCCACTGAAATATCTTCTTTTTTTTATTATGCAACTGTTAATAAAACATGCCTGGTATTTCATATTTACCTGCACTTTGAGAATGCCTGTTATTTCTGAGCTTCCACCAGACTCTGGAAATGTGACAGACCATTGTGAACGCCAGCGGCCATTCCTGCAAGTAGAAAACGATGCCAGTGATGTCGGTACACACAAAATCATATCCACAGGTGAACTCTCTTTTTCCCTCTCATCTTTTTATTAATTTTCTCCCTGAAAAACCCGCTATCAGAAGGCTACATACTCCTCCCTTACATTCGCAAAATAAAATCTTACCAGAAATTCTTTGGCTGGAATTGGTGGCTTTCTATACAAGCTATAAGTGTGATGTTTCCCCCTGCACTACTCCCATACACTGTGCAGTGACCGTACTTGTAGTATTCATGGGTATAGGTGGTGAACGCGGTCTCCAGGGCTGCTCGCCAGGGCTCGGCTGTGTGGTCAATGTCTGCCGACTGCAAGTCACTGCCCTCTTTCCTCAAATGATCATACCTGAGATTCAAATGGAAAATGTGAATTATAGATATATTTCTTAAGGTGTGATTTATCTTTCCTTCATTTTTGGTAAATCGGCAATTTCACTGAAGTCTGAATAGCCTAAAAATCAAAGAACCATCCCATTCTGCTTAAAAGACTACAGTATACATGTCAGTGGAACAGTATTACCATGAGATCACAGGAAAAAGTATCTTGAGAATCAATAGAATCGAGTACTAACCTTAATGACTGTTTTGTTCTTGGTACTAAAAATCTACCCCCACCAAGGTCTCCATGGTCAGTTATTAGCACCTGGGGGATACAGAAAAACATAACAGAATGAGATAGCAAATATTTCTTTTGACACTTGTCACTTACAGATTAGTTTCAGGACCCATGTAACCATATGGTACATCTTTAAAATTACAATGATTAATCAGCTGATTTATGTCTACTGCATAAAAGTGCAATTTTACAGTGTTTATAAATACAGTAAAACAAGACTGGTCCAATTTATTGTAATGCAATTTAATTTTACCAAAGTCTAAAAACAGGAAGAGCAGTTTTACTGCCACAAAAAGCTTTACTGCTGTTTAAAAATCAAGTGACATGTCATTACCTGTTCTTCAGAACCATCAACTTTGCATGGAGTGAACTGGTCTTTGTTGTATTGTGCAAAGGCCCTACAGAGATAAAGGAAATAAATGAAACATTACATGATTTGAGCATTGACACGCTCATATTCATATGATGGCCAATTTAAACTGCTGACAAAACTCTCTTTCTTACATTTTAACAAGAACTGGCAATATAAAACCAATAAAAAGACATTAATAAGTATCACAGATTGTCAGAGATTATGAATCACACCATCCAAACAACCAAATGACAAGAGTGAGAACAATAAGTTTTCATTACTTTTATTTTATGTGAATTTAATGACCGCACAAATATAATCATCACTATCACCAACTTTGGAGATCTAATTGCAATTGTAACAGTGCTAAATTTCCAGATCAAAACACTTCACACATAATTATAAATATTCATGGCCTTTTGGGAAATTGAAAACAAGTGCCTTGAACACAAGTACCCAGATTATATGGTTTTTCTATTGCCAAGGTCATGGGAATTCAATGAGCATAAATTTTAAAGAAGGGCACACTGTGTTGACAGTATTGATAATAGTGATTAAATATCACCTACCCTGATGCCTCCTCCTTCAATAAGTTATCATCATTCAGCAGTATTCTCACATCTGTAATCCACAAAATTTAAATTACTAAAAGCATTACTATATATTTCAGAACACAACCTGGTGTTTTCTAATATAGTGTCTTTACCATGATAAAAATTGAACTATACAGCCATGCCTCTTCAATACATAATGTTTTAATAATGTGTCTGTATACACCCACATGTAATATTGCAAAACATTATATTGCCATTTGTTTAGTACAACGCAATGATCAGTGTTTTGTGTTTACCCTCTCCAAGTTTACTATTAACGCATTGTTTCACAAATGCACACAAATTTTGGTATGGCTATGAAGGACGAATTGCGCCTTAGCAAATTGGACCACAAGAATGTAATGATATGAAGACTGGGTCTGCACTTTACAGACACCATGAAACTGTATATATTGTAACAATACTGACATGCAGTAAACTTAAATTAAAAAAAAAATCTTCATAATACTTTCACTTTTGAACTTTTTACTGTAGCAATGCCACTATCAATACCAGTATGCAAGTACAGGTATGTACACAACCCAGATAAGAACATAGGTAAATATAACTCTTCACTTCCTTGATCTAACACGAGTGAGATAATAATCCACATATATGGATTATCCTTCACTAACTTTTGTGAGAAGGATGGGATCCAAGTATTTTACCAAAACTCAGGAAAAAATTATACCTTCTGAAAACAGAAGAGGGCTGCTTTCCCATTACTAGACAATTTCCCATTTAGAATACTGGTGATAAAATTAGCAATATCAGAAAACTCTGCACATGCTTCATTTCAATTAGAAAATGTTCCATCATTTGATGAATTTTTTCCGACTCACTGCCCAGATCACTCCACCAAGACTTCCCATTAAAACCAATAACCATGCACTTCATTCACTACTTTCATTATTATGCAAGAGCAACATTTCTGCACAAAAAAGGGGCGATACTCACCGTTAAAAACTTCATTAAATTCTCCTGGAGGTGCGTGGAGGATAAAGTCCGAGGCTATCCGCACCTGAAGAGGCAAAAAACAATTAGTGCAAAATATGAGTAGAAACATAACAAAACATTGGTAGCCAGATTACGATTGTGCTGCAGTCCCTTTTACTGCAGATATTTGTTGATACCTATATTAAGCAACCACATTGAACTTGGACTGCTAATTAGCTTCTTCACATCTGCTGGAAAACATACTGTATGGACAGTGAGAGGTCAGCTGTTTTCCCAAATCACCTGTTGTCAGTAAATAAGTTATAAATAAAACATGAGTTTAGACTAAAGCAATTCACAATGAGCATCAACAGGCTAACATTAAAAACAAAAAGAAATGTCAGGCAAATATGAAAAATGGCTTGAAACATAAAATGCCAACATCATTAGCATTTTTCTATCCATCTGTTAACAAAAAAAAAAAATAAAAAAAAAAAAAAAAATCAACAGCAAAAAGGAAAAGAAAGAAAGAGAGTCAGAAAGAAAAGCAACAATGAAATAAATGTATTTGTTCAACTTGAATATTTGCACCTTTTCAGAGATATCGTCTGATTTGAAAACTTTCTAAAGTAACTGCTGTTTGCTTCATGCAAAACTTACTTACATTTTCTCAGCAAAGCACAATTTTGAAATATAAAAGACCAAAACATCATTGATTAATGCATGAAGTATGCTGGTATGATTTTATTGATTTTACAAGTACATAAAACATAACAGCTACATTGCTGGAAATCATAACTCTATTTCAGCGTCTCAACTAGCTCAATATTTAAGGATTGTTTTTTTCAATTTCTGTTTCAGTTACAAAGACAATACACTGTAAAAATAACTATTAGTTGGCGATGTACTCAACATGAGCACCCAACTGTCAGACTGTTCTTTCTTCACGTTAAAGTCGTTGGAAAATGAATGCAGTTTTAAGAGAGGGCTTAAGCTCAAAACGAAGACCCCAAACTGTTAATTTCATATTCACATTGAAATAAATGAATAAATGAAACAATATTCCACAAAATGTAATTTTTAATCTTTTGGGACTGGATGCAAACTTGATAAGATGTTATAAAAAGTGGTCTATAAAAAACAGACATATTATCAACTTCAGGACAAAAATGACTGACAGTCATAAAGATCACTTTTGTCATACAACCACCGCTCCTCACAATGGTAGGAAACTCCCCAACTCTCTTAGACTGCAACATTTGTTCAATATTAATGTACAACAAATAAGTTTGTTTTTCAAACTGTGACAATGTAATACCTTTCATGCATGCAAAGTTGCCAGTCACATAGGCGTGATTCCTATTAATGTGATTCATTACTGCACTGCGGGGCAAATGACAAGTCAATACAATGCTAAGGTAATGATTGTAACCCGAACCTCTTCACAATGACATCATGTGACAAATATCACTCGTTCAATATTAGAAAACAATCAATGCAAAGCACTGTTCATAAATTGCAAAAGAAGAACCTGAATGTTTTTTTAAATAGGTCGGATGTTTTCTTAAAAGTGTCTGTTGTCAGAGAGAACTGTTGCTGCAGTACAGAGATGTACAAATAAAAAATAAATAGGCTATCAAAAAGGCGGAAATGAAAAGTCGAAGCACAACTTCAAACTTAGCCGGTGACCGGCTTCGTTTGATAAGTGCTTGTAGACAAGCTGAGCCAAAATGTGTCTAGAATTTGAAATGGAAACAACGTAAGAAGCCTCTCTGACACTCAGCGACAACATGTTTATCTTTCAATCACCGGAAACTAACCTTTTCTTCATCTGAAATGGGTTCATCATAGTCTGCCATTTTGCTGTCTGTCTGTGTGTCTTTTGCGGTACACGCCTTTCAATGCATTCTGGGATTGAGGTTTATTTCTCAAAATAGCCAACTCCGCATGCACACATTTTACGGATATCAGGTAAAAATTAGTAAAACGTAATTCTAAACATAACTTTCACCAGATTCTTACCATATCTTCAAAATTCAATGTTCTCGTAAAATTCCAAAAGCTAGAGATGTTGCAGACTTCAACTTCCGTTTACAGGTTGACAACATTTTTGATCGATGGAGTAAACACCACCATGAACGCTGATCCGAAAAACGGGACCGTGAAGACACCGGTTTATATCAAAGTTGGGGATCCCAAGAAAGAGTTCTTTTCTGGATGCTGCATATTCGATGTTGCATTTCCGAACACGGTGTCAGTGGAGGTACCTAAATGCGACCCCCCCCCCCCCATCATGGGCACCTGTACATGTAGTTGTTTTCATTTTTAAAAATGACAAGTGACACCCAGTGTGTGTGTGTGTGTAAGTGTGTGTGTCTGGTTGAGGGGTCAGGGGTGTTAAAAGTATGTGAATAAGGTGCACTGTGAAAGACGGTGTTTTACTTAAACATGCATATATTTTAAGCGATGCATGGTTATAATATTTTAAGTATTTTTTAGTGTAGAATTTAAACCAACGGATGAAAACTTCCCTCAGACTGTGATGTTGGCCACTGGTCCAGTAAAATTTTTTAATGTTTGAATTTAGTGGTCTAAATTGCCATTAGTTTTTTTTCCTATAAGTTTTCAAAAAAGCTTTCAATTTGAAGTATTTTCCCCCGAAATGTAACTGTCACATGATAATTCTAAATAAAAAGAAAAAGAAAACATTTGACAAAATCAGGGTCTTGTTATTACTTATATTAATGCAATAGGGGAAAATGTCCAGTCACACTGAAATTTTTGTTCAAACCAGTGAATACTGATTTAGACCAGTAGATTTTAGGAGACTGGTGGTCTGAATGGCTAGAAGGCTGAAAAGTTAATAGCACAAAGTGGTTCCTACAAGATGTAGATGGCCAGCTAACATATGTTACATATTGCTTTTTCAGATTAATGAATTCAGCTTCAAAAATTACTATGGTCACACGTTGACGGTAATGGCACGGAGGAAAGAAGAGCCAGGCAGTGAGTATACTTCAGTTTTACTAAATCAACAATTATGATAATAGCATTTGATGCCCTATTCATTAACGCTGATGTACCTGTATTGTTTTATGTTCGTTGTTGTGTTTGAGGGATGTAGACAAAGTTTAAGTGAAAACTATCTTTGTTGTTAAAATGAGGGGAAACCTGTGCGTACATTATACCAGTTTGTGAACATTTAACAGTGTAATTTACCAGTGCTGTTTTTATTGTTTTTACCAATAGTTGAGCCTAAGTGGAAAACATGTCTAAAGAGAATGAAGCTTATGCCAAATCCACATTTTGAGACTGGAGCTCAAGATTACTTTACTGTCACCAGAAAACAGGTATTTAATAGATGTTTTAACATTAAAAAAAAAAATTACATTACTTTGATATTTATTTTGTGTATTTTTCTCCCAAAATTTTTATTTTCAAAGTAATTTTTTATAAAGATGACACAAGTCATATTTTCTGCATTCAAATTGTATTTACGTGAAATAACAAGCAATTTTTTCTTTATTGAAGGACATAATTTTACACCTAATGTTTTGTGGATGCATAAATTATATTACGTAGTATTTCAAGAGAAATTTTTTGATGATTGGGCATATTTATCTTGTTGATAGTGCAACAAAGTAATAATATTTTATCTCATCTTCCAGCTTCTGTTTGATCTCACCAATGTGACAGGTCTAAGGTTTATACTGAGACAACCGTCTCCTGTGTGGAAGGAATTTAAACTGGAAGAGCTGACCTTTGTAAAAACTACTTCTGAGGTAGGGTTAATTAATTGGTTAACTATCTGATCAACCGCTTTCAACCTGCCAATCGATTGACTGATTGGGTGATTTCTTTTGATATCTGTGTGGTGAAGAGAAATGTCTTCATATTGGTTTAAATGTTTTTTCTTTGCCTTTTCTGTCAAACTATTATTTCATTATATTATATTATATTTTATTATATTATATCAGTACAGTGCAGTAAAAATCTCACCCTTTTCATTGTTTTGACATTATATTTTCGATAAATATGAATTTGTAGATTCTCAATAATATTATCTTTCAGTTCTATCATGTTTCACTATGTCCAATTTTATGTAAGTTGCTTTGAGGTATTACATATGTGTAGTGATAGTAATTATGTTTCAGTGTCATAAGAGTTTCTTTTCTGATCTTATCCATGTACATATATTTTCATAGACTGCTAAGAGTGCGCCATTACCAGCCTGGTTACTGAGGCCTCCAAGGGCCCATGGAGACTACCCAGAGGAAAAAGAAATAAAGGTAAAATATGTGCTGAAAGTAATCATATAGTTATGTCAAGTGAAAGAGTGATATTATTATTGGTAAAAAAAGAATTGTTTTGAAAGAGACTGAAAACTATTTGTACTTATGAGGCATGATATGAGACTGGCATTTAAAATTTGGGACTAATTTAGCTTTTATTTGTGTTTCTTGTAGCCATACATAAAGTCTTTAAAAAAAGTTGAATATTTGCATAAGACAGGTGTTTGGAATTTGAGAGTAATTATGAAAATTATTTGTATTTCAGTTTGCCCCATAATGAAATATTAAAAAAAAGTTGAATATATGCAAAAGACAGGTGTTTGGAATTGAAGAGTAATTAAGAAAATTATTTGTATTTCAGGTATCCCTTCATAAAATCTTAAAAAAAGGTTGAATAATTGCATAATAAAGGTGTTTTAGGAGTTTTGAAATTTAAGAGTATATTACAACAATCATTGATGTTTCAGGGACTTCCTCCCATGGATGACCTGTCCAGTCACTTACAACAGATGTGGGCTATGGTCCAGCAAGCTACGGCTAACCAGACCCAAGTATCTCTGGGAAGATTTGACGTAAGTGTTCTCATGGACTTCTAGAAATTTAGAGAATTTAATCTCATGTGATTGTTGTAAAGTGCTTTTGAGTAGTTGGTTAAAAGGAGGCCCGTGATTTGAACTTGATGATGCATTGTTTTATATTTATTCCAGTCTAATCATTGAACTATTCTCTGTGACGTGATGTGAGACCTACAGAGAAATGTCTTAACTAGAATCATTGTATTTTGGTTTGAAATGTTTTTTCTTTGCCTTTACTTACACATTATTTTAATTTTATTATATTATATTATATTATGTCAATACAGATCATTAAAACTTGGTTGACTTCAATTAATGTTTTGATAAATGTGAAATTGTTGATTCAGGATAATATTAAATCTTAAATTAAACTTGTTTTTCCATGTCCAATTTTATATAAGTTGCAGTGCACTGAGATACTATTTTGTGTTCAAGCTCAAAGATATATTAATATTATATATTTTATCATATATTTCCAGGTGGACAACAGTTATGACATTAATCTGTTGTCATATACTTGACCAAGCACCATGCCAGTACTTCTGGTATATTGTTCTGTGAAGTCGCACAAGGGCAGTCACTGTGAGGAAATATGGTGTGGATAGAAGGGGTGTAGTGTAGTGCATTTCATGACAAAGGGATCATTTTCATGACATCTTGAAGTGACAACAAACCACGGTGACCCTTAGACAACTGCTGGCAGTGAAATTTTTTTACGGAAGGATTTTGTGCTGAATTAAATAAATTAAAGATTATTATAATTATTTAAGATCTTTTAAGTTCAGCAGCTAAATAAACGTATCATGATTGTTTGCATTGTGCATAAGATTATTTTCATTGTGGTGTTGACCAGCTGTGAGTTGGTGACTGTTTGTATTGACAAACATTAAGTAAAGCATTTGCTTTAAATATCAACCTGTCATTGAAGAAGTCAGACCTTGGAAATGTTGATATAGAAGTTGTCTGTTAAACATTCCATTTGTTTTAACATGTTGGACTATCGGCCTGTTGATAGAAAAGATAATTTTTGTCATCTTTTTAGTCATGTTTAGTTTTCTTATTAATAACTGACATGCCTAAGCGTATATCTTCTTAAGCACGATTTATGGTAAACATTACTCTCTGAATTGTGATACTTTTTGTTAAGTTTATAAATACAATAAATCAGAAACTTTGTAAGATGTTCTTGATTTTATTTAAAACTACAAATTTTATACAAATCATAAAATGAATTAATTGCTAAAACAACACTGTATGCATTGACACTTTATTAATACATGGGAAATGTCAATTTAACTCCTTATCACACAATGAAAAACAAATTACAAAAATAGAGATATATATCAAAATCTCAGTCCAGCTGTGAAGATTAATTGAATTTTTCGTATGTTAAATTACAGGATGTTCGCATTTATAAATAGTCCATCTGAGGTACATGGTACATTGACCCAGTGATAAATTAGCAGGCATTTAGAATTTAAAAACAGTTTAAATTTGGCTGAGGTGCTCGTTAATAGTTCAGAAGCAAATATACCACTTTTTCTATCCCTATCGTTGCGCATCTCGTCTATAACTCGTACATGCAGGGTTCAGAACTGGGTCGCTGAGTGGAAAAACATCTGTTGGGGATCCCTGCCACTGTCACGATATCTTGTCTCCTGATGTGGTTCATCCATCTGAAATTATTACACATCAGTCATACTAAAAATGAGATTATATATATTGAATTAAACTTGACACTAGCAATGCCCTGTACCTTTTATAGATTAATCAAGGAATAATTATAAAATGAATAGCTATGTGCACTGGGCCAGTTGATTTTGTTTGTCCAAGGTTTGTTCATGTTTCGTTGTAAAAGGGGGTGTTGGTGTGCTGTTATGGAAAACTTTCAATATTTTGATTTGAAAAGTTGACTTTTTTGCAGGAAAAAACTCCTTTCCACATTCTTCATTAACTTTATTAATGTCCTGATAAATAAAACAAAAGAAAAATAATCATGAAGATAAAATGATACTAAAAAATAATGAAAAAGCAATAATTAAATATATACAGAAACAATAGGATAAAGATTATAATCAAACGAAGAAAAATTATATGCACCTCGTAATAATTACTCCTGCGCTGGGATGTTGGTCTTTCATCCTTTTCCTCTACAGCGTCATACTTCGATATTGGCTTGATCTTTTTGGCAAAGGCCCAGTCCTAGATTAGACTTTCAGATATCAGTTTTTACATAGATAACTCTTATATATATATATATATATATATATATATATATATATATATATATATATATTACTTGTTTTCAATTGAAAATTTCATAGTGGACAAAATGATTTTTCTCCAATTTAATCTTTTGATAAAGGAGACATTCTAATTAAAACGAGACATTCTAATTAAAACACAGCAAATGCTGTTCAATTTCAAGTAAAGTGTCATGATAATAAATAAATAAATATATAAAAAGAAACAGCCAGACATGACTTTCCATCTTACTATATCTGGTGCCGCATCCACCGCTCTCTGGATTACAGCCAGCCGTGCTTCCGGATCTTCACGTGCGTCTGCTATATCCTGATAGGTCTGTTCTCCGTGGTTGCTAGGATACGTTTTTCTCTCCATTTCCTGGCTGCTTGACGGGGACTCGTCGGGGGTCTCTAGGTTTGTCTCCGATTTAGAGTGAAGCAAGGTCTCCTTATACTTGTGAAGACTGCGTCTAGTTTTGTGAGTGAGACCGGCGAACACCGCAACGACTAGAACAAGAACAGCCCCTACCGAACCGCCGACCGAAACCGAAGCGAGACGCCATCCTTTCAGAGCTAAAATATCAAAGAAGCATATTGCAAATTACTTAAAATCTAATATGAATGAAAATAAGACTACATTTGGTGAAAATCTGCTTATCAAATGTCGAAAATATAATCTTTACAGTATAAAGAGTCCACCAAGGTTAGATATGAGTTACACGTGACTTTTTTACTTATATCTGTGAAATTTTAATAACTGCAATTTTAAAAAATGTGAAATGTATCGCCGATTCCGTAAACGCGTGTACATTTTTTTTCTTAACATGCAATTAACGATATTTCCTGCGTGTGCCCTACCTTGGGGCCCATTGCAGTATGGGCCTGTGAAATCATCTATACACCTGTGGAGGAAATCCAAAGGAGTCAGATAAGAGAGAAACAGCAACAACAGACAAAACAATAATCATATCAATAATGAACACTGTCTGAATAATTATCGCGCACCGGCATTAATTCTTTTTTTGTTAATAACTTCAAGTTTTACTCAATGGGAGTGCGTATATATTATGGCTTAGTTATATTCCCGTCCCCCCAAAATAAGGACAAAGTGGTGTCTTGTATTTGTCTCACATATACCAATTAATCCTTGACGCGTCAGTTTGTGTCTCACCTGCACGACGATAGGTTTCCTATGACTCTCTGACATACTCCTCCGTTCATACAGTCTGGGCATATTTCTAAACAGAATTTTGAATTAAGTTTCACTTAATAACAACGTCATTTTTTATATTATTTTTTACGTAAAAAACTTTTGTGTTAGTCAATACGTTCCCGTGTTTTAAGAAACTTACACATTAATATTTGACATACTGGTATTTCAAAAGATTTAAATATTCCAAGCTTGGTAAAATACTTCTAATTGAAAGCAATTATCACAGATGTAAAGTACAAATATGAAATAGCGATAAAATGTGGCCTTATTTGGAACAAAATGGACACGTACCTGTGCAGATACGCCCCTTGTTTTCAACACTGTCATCTTCAAACCCCTCTCTGCAGTCACAGGTGTACGTTCCGTAAGCCGCTTGATGCTTGCAGTCAGCGTAAGGAGAGCAACTGTGATTACCATTAGCACAGACGTCGAACGCTGAATTAAATTAATGAATGACTTTCTGCACACGAAAACATGCTATATTTCATAAATTCAATAATCAAACAAACAATTTAAAATTAAATCTCAAAATATTTTAGGACTAAAATGCAGAGGACGCTGAACTGTTCAGCATTCATTGCACATAACATTGCAGGTTTTTGGTGATTTTCAATGAACCCACCTTCAAAACGTTTCTCAGAAATAACTAAGGCATCTTCACTGACTTTCAGTATTTGACTTAGAGACTCTTTCGCAATTGTTTGGTTGAACGCTGTTGTCACTGCATCTGCCGTTACAATAGCACCAGCGTTTGTTTTGAAGTATACTTTATAGTCGCCCTTTATGCTGCCCTTGGACAATTTGACAACTTCACACCTGTCATAGGTATCTCGTAGATCACCACTCTGGTACGCCCTGCTCACCTGGAGTTGCAAAAATACGTGTAGTTATAGTATTACTTTTATACGCATTTAAAACAGAAACAATTTTTTGTACCGAAATTCAAAGTAGTATCAGCTTAAATACTGGGTATGCATCAGTTGGATTTACTACAAAGTAAAAATACAAAATCTTTCAATAATGTTACATCAATGTTCTTACTAATAAAGCAAAAAAAAAAAAAAAAAAAAAAAGTAGAATCTTAGATGCCCATATAAACCCATATCTCTACAATAAATTGTACTTACTGCTTCGCATATATCATTTGCCATATCTTTGAAGGCCTGGGAGGACGTGTCTTCAAGTGCAGGATTCCATTCCACTGGACCGTCCGGGGTCGTTTTGATGCTGAGGGAGTTTTGAAATATACTTACCCCTGAAAATCATTGTGTGAAAAATAAGAAAAGGGTTATCATCTATATTGAAGTCTTAGGCCTAAGAGAAAAAGTGTGCATTTTGTACTGATACACACATACTGTTATTTACAATACAAATACAGATATTCAATGCATGTATGTACGCAAGTGCTCTCAGAAATATTTAAGAGCATGAAGCGCCCATTTTCTGCGATCTTCGGGTATGAACGAAAAGAAAATTGCGTATATTCAAGTACTAAATTTTATAGTAAATGTGTGCGCTTCTCATCTATTCTAAAGTAAGAACGTGTAAGAAACCCAATAGAGATACCATCTTCGCAGTGTCTCCCGGCAAAGTCTTCCGTACACGAACACCTGTAGTTATAGTTAGATGTCCTAACACATGTTCCATCGTTTTTACATGGCTGCCGTATACACGGATCTGGTACCTCTGGGTTAAAAGACATGAAAAAGACAGCTTAATATAAAAGAATAGGGTAATTTAGCAAAACTCTCCTGTACATTGTACGTACGTTTCTTTTTCTGGCATCTTTTATTACACAGTATTTAAACAGAAATCGAAACAGAAAATATTTTGAATTATTTTCTACTGAATGTAATTAAAATCAAATGAGACAGCGTCTCAATTTGATATTGAACATGCGGTTAACTTTACACTGAAAGCTTCACGTTTTCTCAGTAAACAATAGCAAGGTGAAATTAATGTTCAAGCTGCCAAGAAACCTTTCATCAAAATTCTTTTGAGCTTAAATGTACTTGTAGATAAATTAAAACTTACAAACTTTTTAACATTATCTGGGGATCATTTTTTATTGACTTCATGAGGGAAAGAATGCTCTACCTATATCACAGGTTTCTCCCCGGAAGCCCAGTTTACATTGACAACGGCGGTCTCGCTCGCCCACCGCCACGCACGTGGCTCCATTAGCGCACTTGGGTGGTACCTCACATGGGTCTTTATTCACTAGAATATACATGATGAAACAAAGTCAGCATAAACACCAGCAGGAATTGCAGTGAGGAGTATGGTCCACAATCTTCTTTAGAACAATCTTTAAAGAAAGTCTGTGTAATGCAGTTTGGAGACCATGATTATATTTCTTAGAACTGGATTTCCCTGAATTGTTAATCTCTCACGCAATTAAAACCAATCGATTTGAAAGAAAAAAAAATCAAGAAATTTTAATTATTAAATTAAAATGATAAAGTATAATATACAGAGATGAAATATAAAGGTTATAATATTTTACAGAGCATATTTTAAGAACAATACTTACCACAAACTCCAGATTCAATAGGTATCAAGTCAGCTTTGCAGGAGCATTTACCATCTTCACACGTTGCGTTGGTAGTCTTACACTCAATGTCCTTCGAGCATGGCGAGTGAAGAGGCTTCTTTAAGTCTGATCATTATAACAGAATTATTATGATTAATAAGGAAGAGTAAATGATTATATGTTAAAGCCAGTCTCAGTGGGTTAGACCTTCATATAGAAAAAAAAAGAATTTTCCTGGAAACGTCACCAGTGGGTCAGTTCAACACACACACACACAGATAGTTGGGGGGTGGGGTGGAGAGAGAGTAAAAATAATCTGATCTTTAGTTAGAAAGGAACTTATAAGAGCGCTAATTTACCGCAATTTACTGTGGCGTCGTTATAGAAATACTGTTCTTCACAAACGCATCTTGAGCCTACACAGATTGCATTTGGATCAAGGCAGTGGCTCGCGTTCTGACAGGTACCGTTGATTTGTCGTTTTGGTTCTGCAAAGATACAACAGCTTAGAGAATTTTTTTAACCGTTAAGGCCTCTTCATTCAGTTTAATATAGATAAAACGTAGTTTTGCTATTGCTTAACGAATTACCTTTTGGATGATAGAAATATAAATAATTTATAGATTTTCCATCTGCAAGCGCATTAAACCCCCTAAAAATGTTCATTTTTTCCTTTTTTAAAATGTTTCATTGTAAAATATTCTAAGGTGGTTGCTTACCACACGTGTTGCTATCAATCTGGTAATGACCACCGTCACACTGGCACTTCCCTGTCTCTTCATCACACACAGTGGAGTTGAGTTTACACTGATCATTTCCTTTTGTGATTTCACATTGTCCTCCAAGCGCAATCTTTGCCTCTGTGAAAATAATATAAATTAAATATCCTCAAATATAAAATTAACACTTTATTGGTACTGTAGCGGTTAAGGTAGGGTCCTTTTTCTTTAGCTGATTCAGTGTAAATGTACATTTTAAATAATTTTTTCAGTTATTGTAGTATTACGAATGAATAGGTCCTTGACCAATACGATAAAAATCACCCATCAACGGCGCACAAACTGTTACGCGTATAATAGTTTAACGAATGCCTCTTAATTTGTGTAATCTTTGGCATTCACCACAACTGCATACGCGATCACGTATATTACACGTAATGAGTGCTCCATAACCCCCAACCAGACTGGCCCCTTGAACAAATAACACAGACGCTTAATACAACTAATTTAACACTGAAAAAGCATTTCTACTCACTGCATTCATTGGCATCAGGGAAGTATTTCTGTGTATCACATTGGCATGTGTTGTTGTGGCACACCGATCCATTTGTACGACACTGCTGTTCAGATTGTGAGAACGTTGCATTGCAGAACATTTCCAACTCTTTCTTCTGTTCTAAAAACGGAACTAAAAATGAAGCTTGCCCTACATAAATTGATCATTTGGAATTTCAGAACGAAAAACAAAGTGAATATAAAATATATATGCATACAAAACTCACTTCAACAGAAACGACTCACCACAATGCCTGCTACTGATGTTGAAAAAATAATATTCATTACATAGACAAGTGCCAAGGCAGAAAGAATTCTGGTCTTCACATTGGCTATCATCGGTACAGTTTTCCCCAACTCGTTTCTTCTCAACTGTAACATAATCAAAACATTACAAAACATGCAAGTATGTTTTTCAGGATATTCCAGTTAAAAAATTGTTGTGTAGGGAGTGTAGATATTTATGCACTGTCACTTAATATGCACTTGAATAAGTAGAGCATTACACCCACTTAAGAAATGCACTTTGTGGTTAGTGTTAAAATGCCCCAGAAATACTGTCAGCTGCGTTCTATTTGCATGATTAAAATAGCATTCTCTCAGAAAAGAACTTTATATATTCATTGAAAAATGAAAAAATAAAATTAAATAAAATAAAATGCATTTTCACCGCATTTATTTTGTTCCTGGAAATATCCGTCCACACATTCGCACCGTTTAGTATTGTTGTTACACGTTGCATTGGTAGTGTTACATGTAACTATCCTTGTGCAGGCCTCGCCCAGTGCTGCTTGCTTTCCAGATGACACTTATGAAAAAATAAACTCAGGTTAAAAATTCATGAAATATTAGTTTTACAGAAATAACTAAACACTAGAACAGTCAAATGGTTGTATTTATAGGTTCCTTTCAGAATTTAAAATTCAGCAAGAACGCAAACCCGTTTGAAAAAAAAAACAACATTAAGGGAAAATGCCTTTTGCTGAAGGTTCCCCTGACATGATTCTCTTTTTTATCACAGCGACCACAAACGCACCAATAATTCCGATGAGACACATATTTGGATGGTATGTTAACATTTTTTCTTACCGCATATGCCGTCGTCTTCAATGAAGGAACGGTCGCACGCACAGATTTTAGACGTATTACATACGCTGTGTTGTATTCTACATTCCAATGTTCTATTACACGTGACACCCAAGAGCTTCTTAGATACTGAAATAAAATTCCCAAATTTGTATAAGAATGTGAACAGGAAGAGAATTTTAATTTAGTGGAAAGATAGACAGAAAGTGGCAAACGTACATATTGTTTTATTTCAAAGTATGCAAATTGATGCTAACGACTAAAAATTGTACAAGGTTTTAGCGAGGGCTGACAGCCATTACCGTAAGTCTCGTTCACTCTGACATATGGCTCTCATGACAATATTGCATACAGATATGTACATATGATATCTTAAAAAATAAAATCAGCAATAACCTGCTGTTTTATACATGTAATAAGATATGTGATATATGTACGTTTTAAAGTATTCCTCATATGGTCAAACTTTTAAGGTGACATAAAAATTTACATATAAGACATGAAATAAGTTTTACATATCAAACCTCGTAGTATGCAAATTCTTTGTTTTGTGTTAATATATTACCAAAAATAT